CCATCTCGTCTCGTCCCAGTATGTTGTGTAATCCTTTTCGTTGCATATTCATTTTTATATTTCAATTATCTACGTGATTTCGGGCTTGCGCGAAGCTTGCACGTACATAAGCTTGCGCGAAGCTTGTGAAAAGCTTGCGCGCGTGAGACGCCATTCAATTTTTCAAAGAATAAATTCCACCGAATACTAAAATCAATTGCCGGCAGTTTTGAACGTGACTCAGGTGGCTGTCGCAAAGCACCACGCCTGCCACGCCAACAGCCGCGGCGGCCACCCAGGCCACTCCGGCCCAAGCGCACCACCGGAGCCAGCCCAATGTCATACGTACCACGCCTACCTTACAAAGTGAAGGTCGATGTCACCAAGTACCATGCCTACCAAATAAAACCAAGGTGGATGTTTCCAAGTGCCATGCCTGCCACGCCAACAATTATATGTGAGTAAGTTATTGTGTGCGACCAAGTTGTGTCATGACAAGTTGATGACAAGGTTTGTAAGTAAAGTTGTGTGTGTAAGCAAGTTATATAATGACAAATTAAATGATGACAAGTTGTATGGATAAATAGTAGTGGGAATAAAATAAATTAATGACAAGGTATGTGAGTAGAGTTATGTGTAAGCAAGTTCTATAATGACAAATTGTGTGATAACAAGTTGTGTGGACAAGTAGTAGTGGGAATAGAGTTGTGTGAGTAGAATTGTGTGTGAATTGAATTATATGGGAGCAAATTGTGTGATGACAAGTTAATGACAAAATGTGTTTGTAGAGTTGTGTATAATGTGGATGTGGATGATGTAGAGGAGGAGATAAATTGTATGATAACAAATTGTATGATGATAAATCCTGTGGACAAATAGCATTGGGAATAGAACAAGTTGACGACAAAGTATGTGAGTAGAGTTGTGTCTATGAGCAAATTATATGATGAAAATTTATGTGATAATAAGTTGTGTGGACATGTAGTAGTGGGAGGGGAATTATGTGAGTAGAGTTGTGTGTGAGCAAATTGTATGAGTAGAGTTATATGTGAGTTGAATTGTATGTGTGAGCAAGTTGTGTAATGACAAGTTAACGATAAAATGTATAAATAGAGTTATTTATGATGTAGATAATATGGAGGAGGAGGCAGGAGAAGGCGAGAGTACAAAACCAAAAATAAAAACCCCATATAAAGATATAAAAAAAAAAAGAGAAGAAAAAAACAAATGTAAAAAAAAGAAGAAAAGAGAAAAATCAGAGAAAAAGAGAATAAAAAGAGAAAAGAAATAAAATATAAGATCTAAAGATATAAGATATAAAGACAAAAGATCGGAAATTACAAGATAGGAAAATATAAAATATAAATATTACAGATCTAGAAATGTAAAATAAGTACATAATATTATATTTTTAAAGAAACCTTAAATCCAAATATCCTTAATAAAAAATAAAAAATAAAATAAATTAAAACCTCATATTTATCCGAAATCAATAAAAACTAATATTCAAAAAAATAATATTTACACAAATTATTATATAATTATAAAATAAGTTAGAAATTAGTTATTTTTCTTTAATTATATATTTATGATTATCCTAATCTTTATATCTATTTATATTTTCAAATATATATATATATTTATTTATTTACATATTTATTTTTAAATTTATATCATATATATGTAAATATTAATAGTGCGTTTTTTGTATTGATATTTTTACGATTGGGATTAATATTGGTCAGAAATGATTGGGATAATAAAGATAAATCCAGGTGAGGGGCCAGGCGTTGCATCTCCTTCACGGAAAAGGATAAATATCGAATGAAAAAGTGAAAAATGAACTCGTATAGTAAACCAGGATATCAACAACACACTACCAAATAATACATTCTTTTGAATGACTGGAATTGTTATTTGTTCAAAATGAACACTCCATTCCTTTAGGAGTTGACCTAAAGCAACAAGCCCCACTTTCTGCTGAAAGATGCCATATGATGCCAGTGGAAGTGGAATAGTTATAAGTTATAAGGTATAAGTTGTAAGATCTTAATTGGGCTTCTCTGGAGCTTTACTTTCGAACAAGAATCCAAGAAAACGAAACTCACCTTTGCAGACAAGTGGATTTGTCTTAAAAGATGACACGCCCGGGCCACAATCTCGATGGTTAATCAATACCAGATAATACCAGTAGTACCGCACAAGGCGGTGGCCGAAGTTTTAAAGACAGGAAACTATAGGGGAGGTGAATCGGAGGTGAATAGTTGTTGTGATGCATGGATGCAGAGCGAATACACTGATGGAGGTAGTGCGGTTGTAGTTGTAGTTGTAGTTGGAGCTGGATTTGGAGTTGTAATGTAGTGGTAGTTGTAGCTGTAGCTGTAGTAGTTGTAGTTGTAGTTGTTGCTGTAGTAGTTGCTGTTTCTGTTGCTGTTGTAGTGGTAGCTGTAGGTGCAGTAGTAGCTGTAGTTGATGTTGTTGTAGTCGTTGCTAAGCAGTAGTAAGCAGTAGTAAGCAGTAGTAAGCAGTAGTTAGCAGTAGTTAGCAGTAGTTAGCAGTAGTTAGCAGTAGTAAGCAGTAGTAAGCAGTAGTAAGCAGTAGTAAGCAGTAGTAAGTAGCAGTAAGTAGTAGGAAGTAGTAGTAAGTAGTAGTAAGTAGTAGCAAGTAGTAGTAAGTAGCCGCAAGTAGTCGTAAGTAGTAGTAAGTGGTAGTAAGTAGTAGAAAAAGCAGTAGGCAGTAGCAGTAAGTAGCAGTAAGTCGCAGTAGTAGCAGTAGCAGTAGCAGCAGTTGTTGTTGTTGCTGTGGAGGTGGGGTAGTAGTAGTGGTAGTAGGAGGAGGAGGAGTAGTAGTTGTTGTTGTTGTGGTTGTGTAATGTGGCGCGGTCGAACGTCCAAAAGTGATCCAAACGTGGTGTGCTTTTCACATTTTGACTTCGACATGTGCTTCGCGCCACAACGGCGTGCACTTTTTCGACATCTCAACGTCCAAAAGTGGTCCAAGACCGTCAGTTTTTACTGCGCTTAACTGTTTAACAGTTTTGACTTCGAAATGTGCTTCGCGCCACAACCGCGTGCACTTTTTCGACATCTGAACTTCTAAAAGTGCTCCGAACCTGGTGTGTTTTGTACATTTTGACTTGGAAATGTGCTTCGCGCACCAACGGCGTGCAACGTTTCATCTCTTTAGCGAGCCTACTTTTCGACCCTCCGGAGCCACAAATCATTGGAAAAACACAGTGAATCGCGACTTTTCTACCTTTTCGCGCACCTGGATCTTCTTTCTTCTGGCTTTCTCTTCTCTGACTCTTCGCAGCTCTGCTTTTCCATCTGTCCATATTGTCGGAAGTTTCACTTCTAAACTTCCTTCGATTATATTCCCTATTAACTTGTCATTTAGGGGTATACCCCAGAGACACCCAAGTGTTACCCCCCTCGCTCCGCGATAGCCGCTCGTGCAAAGGGTTCAGCACCAAGCTTATGATAGCTTCGCTCCTTGGTATGCGCGCAAAGAATTCCAAGCAACAAATGGGTACCATCCGGTAATCAAACATGGCTGGGACATCCACGGCAAATGGAGGTTTTGATGGGAAAATAATCTATAAAATTCTATAAATAGGGAATTGTCCATTGCCATGTTTGACCACCAGACTCAGAATGTACATCAACCTTCCATGAATTCACGAAAAAGTGGGTATACTTCGGCTTTTAGCGGCGGTTCATTTTTTTGGAGGTCAAGCATTTTCGGCCCGAGGGCTTACACTACCAGTAGTCTAGTAGTCGGTACTGGCTGCAGGCACCAACTGAGCAGCCGACCCTTTTGGCCAGAAATCCAGGCGGATCATCAAAGCGAAACGCCAGAAAGCTTTCAGCAAGTGCCTCCAACAGGTGCCGGTTTAGCGTGCTGAAACAACGTCCAGAAAAAATCAAGGCAAGCGACGACAAGCGGCGCTCACAACGATATGATCTACTTCTCTCAGAGGCCTCAACCCCAGGATTCCGGATGAGATTTCCGGGCCTCAGCCACAGGGCATGGTGTATCTCTGTATCTCTTCTATCCAAACATTTCTCACAACCAGAATTAACCAGAAATCTCTTGTTTAGAATCTGAAAAAGTGGATAGTTGAGTAAAACAATATGAAACAACCAAATAGTTTCTCTCATTGGAGCACCTTGAGCCAAACCCGAAGCTTCGCCGAGAGGCAGAGTTTCATTGAGGTACTTGCGGAGCTCTAGTCGGTCTCAGGTGCGGCCAGATGATGCAGTATACAGTATACAATTACAATCAAACAAATGCCTGGTTGTCACTGTGCAAACTGGGATGAACATCCAAGTAAACCACATTTAACATCAGCCAACATCAGTGCAAAATGGCTGCAGGTGCCAAGACTTGCAAGACTCGCCAAGAATCCCAATACCAGCAATCGAGCATAGTCCAGAACCCGCAATCCAAAAGGCTGCGCTCGGAGGAGCCTCAGGCCAGCATGGAACTGCAAGCTCAGAAGCATCGCAGCGTTATGAAGTGTTCACATGATCTTTTCGGATAATTACTTTCCTCTCGCGTCTCACAGCTGGTACATAGCTAGTACCGGCATCAAAGCTCATGTGCACTCATCTGAACAGCTCCAGATCTCTGGTTGAGGATCCTCTGCCAGAGTTTGACAATCATCATCTTCCAGACACAGTGCGCCAATTTCCAATTGTCTTTTCCTCGGTGCAAGGATTTTGAGTACCAAAAGTTGCCTTTCTACAGGCTGGTTGAACCCACTTAGGGAGATAGATTTGTGTAGCATCAAGAACTCCCTCAAGAACTTCAAAAACACACATGCACCAACAAAAAAAATAAAAACACATCTGGTAAAACCTTGAAGGTTCTGTTTCGCCGGAGCAGTATAGCACCATGCACCGTTGGACCCCAGGGTGGCCGCCGTCTTCAAACCGGCCTTCGCAGAATTCCAAAATCCCTTGGCGCTGCAGGCGCTCCAGCACTGCCCAAAGCGTGGCGAGGACAGGGCACTGCGTTGTTCGCTGGAGAGCACCGGGCACAACGAAGGGCTGGGGAGATGATTGGGTCTGGGCCCCTTGGGTCCCTTGGGTCCCTTGCGTCCCTTCCCGAGCGTTGCGAGTGCCTCAAGTGGAAACTTCACCACCTCCTTGGGAAATTTCACCTGCGCCGTCAAGAAGTGGATGTCCACATCTAGCACTTGGCCAATGGAACCGATAAACAATTCCATCTTTTTGGTGAAGGGCACTATGGCAACTACTGCGGCTTCGAAGAACGCCTCCTTCTGCAGGACCTGCACAGTTTGACCTTCCAGTCGTGCCAGTCGCTGCACTTCCAGGTCCCTCTCAACTTCCTGGTCTAAGGCATCTCTGAAGGGAGCTACACATGACCCCATGCAAGCTGAACCTCTTTCCTTGCACAGTTCTTCGCATTCTTTCTCTTTCGACCTCCAAAATTCCATATCGTCATTGAGTTGACAGCCGTGGGTCGGCTCAATCTCGCCCATCTGCAAGGGAAGGAACTCAATCTCTGTCCACGGTTCCTTGCCGCTGGCCATTGGCAAGGGAGTTGGATTGATAAAACCTCCAGCAACTACAAACTTCCGCTCTCCTCCTTTCACAATCTTCCACTCCGAAAACTTGGACTGCATGGCGGTAAAAAATCTCTCTGCTGTCGCCAAGGTCATCACGGTATAGTTCACATCCAGCGCCGGAAAACTCTGCCGAACTGCTTCAACCACCTCTGGCTGACGCACCACGCGGGAAAATGGCACAAGTCGCTCAGGCCCCGTGGTCAGTTGTGCAAATGGGCTATGTGGTACCACACATCTCCCACGATTCCGCACTCCCGTGAAGGAGTCATCCTTCAGGGTTTCGAGAAAAGATTGGTAGTCATCTCCCAAGATTGCTGGACAGCCCGACCGAAACCAATGCTTGCTGGGACTGTCCGCAGGGACCACTTCGCACACCATGGCAGTCTTGGTCGGCTTGGTGCAGCAGCAAAGGTACTCTATGCCATTGTCGAAATGGGCACTCCCCCGGTGCCCAAAGCGATGCGTCAAATCCACCAAGTTCAACCTCCTGTGGTTCAGCTCCGAACGGAGCTGCTCGATGCCATCAGATTGACCTTCGACCTGGAGATGGTGAAGGGAGCCAAAACAAAACTCATGGCTTCATCCAAAGACCAAATTGTGGGACTTCTATATGAACTTCTTTGCTTTACAATCTCTGGATCTCACCCAACCTCTTCCAGCTGTTCTCGCAGGAAATCCACAGAAACTTCTGAAAGGAAGCTACAAGCCATCGTTGAAAAGACCGCTACGCCCCAGAAGGTGGCCTTGGAGGATGTGGAAGGAACGAAGGAATGTCTGCAGGAAACAATGCAGATGCAAGGCTCAGATGGCATTTCTTTGTGGAACAAAATGTTGAAGAATTGCTTCCTGAAAGCCTAATCTTTGGCTAGTTCCAGATCTGGGGGGGCATAAGCAAATCGCCTCTTTCAATGGAGCAGTTCTGGAAATTTGCAATGCGTAAATGATCAACCAGCAAGGGTGACCATAAGCAATTGTGACATGCTCTTTTTAATCAACAGATATTGTTTGGTGTCTGCCAACTCATCCTCCAAGAAAAAACAGGTGTCACTCACGGATCATTAGTCCGCAGTGCCAAACAAATGTTCCAAAATGAACCAAACTGAAACGTTCCTAGGGCCAAATCTATGCCTGCCATCTGAAATCACCAACCAGTGGCAGTTGCTGCTAAAGTGATCGTCAGTGGAGCAGCAGCCACAGCAGTGAGACTTGCAGTGACAGCAGTAGCGGCTGTGATCGCCAGGCTGCCGGTGATCCCAGCACCCGTTGCAATATTAATGGACAGGGCGATTCCTTCCTTGGTCAAACCCCAGGTCGTCTCACTCGCCTGGTACCAATCGTTCTGTCCATCCTGAACTGTGACATGCAAATCATAGGCTCCCAAAGCGGCCAAGAATGAAAATTTCTCACCTGGCCTGACCCGGTTTTTGGTGTGGGCATAGATCTGCACCAGCTTCGGCAAAGCCAGAAAATTCAGCGGTAGAGAAGAGTTGTTGATGATCGAAAATTGGAAGGCTGTGGTGGTGGAGTCATTCACTTTCTGATTCAACTGATCCAAGGCATCCTCCACATGGCGCAATGCTACCGCATGGTAGAGCAGCAAGCACCACAGGCACCAGAAAAAATCCATGGGACTTGTCAAACTACAATTGTTTTGAGCCTCTGGGCTGGGTCTCCCAGTTCATGTGCCCTGGAGAATGGTTTCATGTTGCATCTTGGTTGAACCTGCTTGAGGTACGGACCGAAATGACCCTGCATGGGGATTCCTTGCAATCCAACATCAACCTCTATTGATCCCGAACGCTACACCCCCTCGTTGGGGATGAGATCATGCTGCTTAAGCTTGCAGCTGGGAGGCGGGAACCAGGCCACCAAATGAGCAAAGACCATTCCAGAAGGGCCTGGCTATGGAGTTCTATGGCTGCAAATGGCAAGTCAATCACTGCTAGTAGCTGTTCTCTCGCATAGAAGTACAACATTGTGCAAGAATGTAGATCTGCAGGTATAGATAGCTGGATACGTAGACAGACGGATGGATAGATGAGCCACTAAAAATACAGTACCCCTATTCCATCTGATGCTTTTTATAGGTTTCCCTACTAAGGGTTATCATAGTCCGCAAACAAATAGGTAGTATAAGTCCCTATATTGACCAATCAACCAAGCTATCATGGCTCAGATGGATAATGTTTAGCTAGCCGGATAGATAGACAAACAATTCAACAGAAATGTGTGCATACATATACGCAGCTCTATATATATATGTCTATATATATATAGACACAATAAAATGTTGGTTTGTCTGAAAATAGGGTAGCCCCAAATTCCAAGGGATTATAATCATTATCCCCATTGAACCATGGCCCTGTTCCTCGCCTGATCTGCCTCCCACCAAGTGCCCGCGGCTCAGCCAAAATCGTTGGATACCACGCATTGCAGGATCGCTACTGAGCGGTGAAGGGGCACAGCTTGAAACCATCAATGGATGAGAAAATCTATAGGACAACCATGGGATACCATGGGTTTGTGCCCCAATTAAAAGGGGTTTCCTGTAAATGTTCCCTCCAACCAATTCTCGGTCGTCCTTCTCTTCTGCCTCAGCCATCTAGCTGAGTTGAGGGCCTGAAGTCTGCTGTTTCGAAAGCCCGCAGCATCTGGTGATACCAGCACTCCTTGCCTTGGTCCGGGTCACTTCTCTGTGGGATCAATAGCTTTTCACACAACTCCAAAAATCACCAGGAATGGACCGTCAACTACTCCCGGGAACCTGCAGATGTTTCTTGATATGCTGCAGTAAATTAAACATGGGAAACATTGGAAATCCCTCTCGATCATTTTCCTTGGGGCTTCGCCATGGGTTTTCGACATTCATCTTAGTTTGCCACAAGTTTGCCACAGGGTCTACCATCCCCATTTTGCAATGGTTGGAACAAATGAAAGCCACATTTGCTCATTAAATTCCCATGAAATCCCCATGAAATCAGCAGGATTTCCCCATCATCCAGGTTTTGGGGCTCCCAATGTTGATTTCTTGGTGACCGGTGACCTACCTCTGAACCAGGCTGAGGTGCACAGGGCTAAGCTGACGTTTGACATTGGAAAACCTGCGGACGTTTCCGGAGAAGCCCTTGCCTTGGGATTTTAGCCAGTTCTTTACATACGTATGTATATTATATATATATGTGTGTGTATACAACATTTCGGTATGTAGATTTATGTGTGTATAATTATATACATATATGTGATTTTAACTCTGAAAATAGGGTACCCCAAGACCCACTCATCGTCATCCCTGCTGAAACGGCCAACATCCCCTGTGTCCGAACGCTTTCACAAAAGGATAGTCTGGGGATGAGCCCAAATCATCCCCGATGTTCACCACCTTTGGGAGGTTGACCATTGCCACAAGCGAGACACAGTGGGCTCGATGTCGGTATAACGCAAAAGCCACAATATCGGGGCGTAGACCGGATCTGTGTCGCATTTCCAAATACTTGGAAACCTCAGGCTCCAGAATATCATGTAAAAAGTATCATTGCTTGTGTTTCAAAATACTGTTTTCACAAATGCTTGGCCAACAACGAAACATACTGCATGATACTGCATGATACTGGAGCATGTAGGAAGCAATGAAACATCCCATCTTCGAACCGGGACCTGTCTCCGAGTTGCTTGAAAAACATTGATAATCTCCTGGCAAAGGAAACACAGCACATCAGTGGCAAAGTCGTCCAGTGTTCGTCCAAGATAATTGGAGAAACTGGCAGTCCTTGGTCAGAACCAGACCAATTCTCGTAGCCTGGGTGTCACGCACCATGAATTGAACAGCTGCCCCGCTGCCTTCTTGCAACTCAGTAACGTCATGTTGCGGAGCCATCAAACCTCCAGGTGAAAACTGTGATGAGTTGAAAAATCATCGAAGATTCAAAGCACTTTGGACTGCCAAGGCCTTCTTCATCCATTTCTATTCGTGAGTTATAACATATTGTGACTACTATAATCACAATCATAACTGACCATAATTTATGTGTATACATATATATATATGTACAATGTACTATCATGATCAATGCACTATCATGATCAACAATACTTTAATAGCCATTGGTAATCCCCATATCATGATCATGTTTATTCATATTAATACAGTAATACATTACAGTAGTTCCTATATTAGGAGGTATCCTAAAATTGTGGCTACCACAATGGAAAATCCCATCTATAAATGGATGATCTGGGGCTACCTCCATTTTAATTTCACAACCGCCAAGAGTCCCTTCCAAGGCCAGACCAAGGCTGGATGCAAGGGTTCACCCGCCAGTGTGGCGCCCGTCAAACGCATCTGTTGCACCTCCGACCCAAAATCATGGGAGAAGAATGGGAATATCATGGGAACATTGGGATAATAGTCCCAGAATAGTCCCATAATAGTCCCATAATTATGGGATTTTATATAAAATGTAATGGGATAGTAATCATTGTATATATCGTTAGTATTGCTTATCTAAAATGTAATGGGATAATGGGATATACATCAAAGTGACAATTGCCAGATTGGAAATTCAATCAGTATATCATCTGATATGGGAACGAGATGAGTGTTTTCAGGTTTTGAGGCGTTTTGAGGTTGCCGGAATAACAATGGGATGAATTAGGAAATAATATCATCTGGGAATGATAATGGGGATCGTCATAATTGTATAGATGTATGATACACAATGGGACGATAATGGGAATGTCATGAGGATATAGGGATATGAAAAAAAAGAATATCTGGGTGTATCTGGCATTTCTCACCATGGGACTTGGGGGTACCCTATTTTCAGACAAAACAATATTTTGTGTGGATAGTTTGACGAACAAACAAAATGCGAAGAATATTAATATGAGGTTTGAATGAAATGAATGAACCAACATTTGGATTTCAGCAACAAACATGGGGATGCAACTAACATGGGACCCGTAGACAACCTCGCACCCCGTCGGCCTCCGAAAGTGCTTTGCCATGGAGTTGATCGGTCACCAATTCAAACAAAAAGTCCTTGGTGGTTTCGGACGTTTCGGATGAACCATTGCGAATCCTTCGCTAGGATTGGAACCCTAAACGGAACGGATTTTGTTAGTCGCGATTGTTAGGTCAGAGTATAATGTTTCCATTTACATGTCATTCCACTTACATGTCATTTGCATTCTACAGTGACCATTTGCACTTACCGGTGGCTGCGCCCGTAAGAGGCCGGGGGAGTTATGCTCTCTCTGCCTTCCCTTCTATGTTTTATCCGGGGTTGGGTTAGTTGGGGGGGGGTTGGGGACGGTTGGCGCAATAACGTCCTGGCACTTGCACACACCTACTGGATGCTACGTGACAAGAAATTCTTTTGAAGTTCTTTTCAACTTCGGGCTACGTTATATCTATCGTTCTTTCTTTCTTTCTTTCTTTCGTTCTTTCTTTATTTCTTTTGTTTTCTTTTATTTTCTTTTCTTTCCTTTTCTTTTCTTTTCTTTCCTTTTCTTTCCTTTTCTTTCCTTTTCTTTCCTTTTCTTTCCTTTTCTTTCCTTTTCTTTCCTTTTCTTTCCTTTTCTTTCCTTTTCTTTCCTTTTCTTTCCTTTTCTTTCCTTTTCTTTCCTTTTCTTTCCTTTTCTTTCTTTCTTTCTTTCTTTCTTTCTTTCCTTCGTTCGTATCTCATCTCATCTCATCTCATCTCATCCTATCCTATCCTATCCTATCCTATCCTTCTATCTATCTATCTATCTATCTATCTATCTTACTTGATGCTACGTCATAAAGACTTCTATTGAGTTGATGATACGTCATAAGAAGTCCTCTTGTAGTTCTACTACAGCTTCAAGTTACGTGGTGTATATATATATACATACATACATACATACATACATACATACATACATATATTACTTGATGCTACGTCGCAAGAACTTCTCCTGTACTTCTACTACAACTTCAAGCTACGTTATATACGTACATGGGCCACGGTCAATATTTAGTATATAGCTCCAAGTCATCAATTTGGAAGCGGCGTATTATCGTTTTTCGGGTTTGGGGAATATAACAAATGTTATCAATTGTTATCGTTTTTTGAAGAGTGTATCATCGCTTTCCAAGCCCCAGCTCAATTTCCAAAAAATAAAGATGGCTCGAATACTACTTTCCATTATGCTAAATTTTGGCTGTAACTGTAGCCCATATGTGTATATATATAATATATTATATTACCTGCTGCTACGGTGTGTATATTATATATATACACATGTATCTTACTTGATTGTTGTCTCTGGAAGGCTGCGGGGCAGCTGGCGCGTCAGAGACAATAGTGGCACAGAATTGAAGATCAAGTGTTCAGTTGCCAAATGAGCAAACCGTCCCGGTCACTATCAATGTTTTGACCTTGTGTTTGTTTGTGTCTTATATCTACATGTACAGGTGTGTTATTGTGTTACTTAGGGACAGCGGACAAACACTTCCCAAAAACTTCATTTGGTGAACTTCTGAAGACTCTGCTGTATTGATTTAAGAAACCAAATCCAGGAAGAACCATGGTTTTTGGAACGGTAGTTGCCACTGAAATGTTATATACCCCCTGGCAATCAAACATGGCAATGGAAAATTCCACATTTATAGATGATTTTCTCAATAAAAACTGATAAAAAAAAAGGGGGAACTTCCCGTTTCCATCTAGATAATTTAAATGCCCATTTAGTTCAGGGATGTCCCAGCACGCCATGTTACCAAGGCGCCATGGCAGCTGCCGGCGGAGATTCGAAGATGTTGGGCCAGCTATCGTGACTTGGTGTGGCCCAAGTGGGCCGTCCCAGGTAAAAAATATCTGTGTCAACTGGATATTACGGATAAAAAAGGGTGAAGTCCATGGACTCAATACTTTGGGTTTTTGGGAGGTTGTTCACAATCCAATTACTGATGAACATACAAAAAAATGAATAGAAGACTCGATCTTGATTCTCATCTGCCCCGTTTCTTGAGGTGATTTGGTATTGACCCCATACTATTGCGCCAGGAAAATCCTGAAACTCTGAAATCTGCCGGAGTTTGACTTGTCCCCTGAGAAACACCTGGGTCCAGTTTAGGGCTCTGCTGGTAGCGAAGCCTGGACGTTGCTTAACCGTACGGAGCTGACTCTGCCGAGCTTCTCGGGTGCACCCGCAACTTTTGAGAGCTCCTTCGTGATCCAAATGCTAATCCACGAGTGAACCAATAGGTTGAATCTTTATGTAAGAACAGGTTGTGGAATAAATAGTATTTACACATATACGCTATGTATGATTGTGGCTACAAAATCCTACAAATGAAAACCTTCTCATGGCCTTTTTGCAGTTTTGGATTCCGCCACGAATCCATCTTCATCTAAACAAGACTCAAACATTGTCTGCTGACCTTGTTAAAATCCTCAGAAAGGACACTGCAAAATACATCCCATGCCGGAGTGAACTCATGGCGATTTCACCGAGTCCTTCATCAAGAGCCCATTGCAGTTGGGATGAAGTATATCGCTGGTACCAGCGATACAACCCTGTCACAGCAGGTTTTCCCACAGGTTTTGTGGGTTAAAAATGACTGACAATTCCAAAAAATTGCATGCAATTTTAATCAAGTTAATCATCAACCAGCCAATCCGTTGATCCCTCGGGATTTGAAAAAAAAAACTCCCCAAGACCCCTTGTGAGCCTTGTGTTTTTGGGCTGCTTCCAAGACCTCAAAAATAAAGCGCTAAAATCGGCCGACTCACCGCCGAAAAATAGCCAGACGCTGTCCATGGAAAGCCTGGTTGGATTTACATAAATCATCATAAATCCAATTGATTTACAAGAATATAATTGAACATAAAATTGAATCTATTCCTTCTGGAGGATACCACCCAACTAAATTAGCCGCAGTTCCAACCAGAGATGATCTAGGGCCATTGAGGAGGGCACGGTCATGATCCAAGTGGTCCCACTGTTTGGAAGAGACAGCAGGATCGTCACTGGATGCTTCAACCGCACTTGGCCAGAAGGACCCCGGACCTTGGTAGTTTTCTTTGATCCCCAAAAAAGATGCTCGGTTTGAAGTTTGGGGTGTTGTTTCAGTTTTAAGCAAATTCATTTGACATCATTGGAGCCTTTTTGGGTCTCAATGGATGCTTCTTGCAGCAGAATCACCCACTCATCCCGATGAAGGGCAAGGGGTTTCTCAAAGTTCTCCCAAGCAGGTCGCAAACGCGGCGCAAAGTGCAGTTTGGGACAGGGCCGGTGCTTGCCTGGCGCAGAGCTTCAGCCAGACCGAACATGCATGGCCCGATGTGTTGTTTGTTGCGGTTGTTGAACCTGTTTTGGTGGGAGGCTCCCTTGAAGGAACGCAACCAAGAAATACTGTATCAAAAAAGGTTGCACCCCCAAATCCATGAGTTTCCCTCCTTCAGAGGGCTTGGGGTCTGCACCTCGGCCTGAAACCAACTCTGCAGAACGGCTGCTTCGGCCTGAGTTTACAGCTTGAATTCACCCAATTCAACTGGTAGAAAACGTCAGCATTCCCCATTCAGATACAACCAGATCTACAACTGCTAGAAGCCCATGACTTAAAACAAAATCAGACCGACCCCTTTCACACCGTCGCCCAGTAACTCGGTCGTGGAGACCAGGAAAACGACACCAACCTCGACAACAGGCGGCGATTCTTTGTCACCGTCTGGCACCAGGGTGAAGCCCCGGAATCCTTGGCCGATTCCACTAGCGAACCATTGAACCGAGAATTTACGCGTGCTTGATTCTGTTTGATATGCGTTCACATCTTTCACCATCCATGTTTTTTTGCCGAGTTTTTGCCCTTGACAAATTCAATTGCTGGATTTCCACAACTAACAACTCACGTTTCTCACCTGGTGCAGAAGAGTAGCTACCCGATGGGCAGACGTTGGTTGACTGCTGTACGCTTTGGTAAACAGCTGTCCTCGATGTATCACTGCTCGGTGTGGCGCTGGAGCATTGGCCAGAGGCACGCCGGGAGCCTTGAGGTTTGGTGCGGCCAAACAAGCCGTTCTTGACACTGTGTAGTGCAAGTCCCGCATCAGTTCAGCGGAATCCACTGGATGGAAGACCAAGATACCTGGTATCCGCACCAGCTGGGACCAAAATATGACGTTTTGAAATTCTTGGAATTATAATCCCAGGATGGACAATAGAAACCATGAACAACATCACGACTCAGATACATTGTGGCAATAAGCTTCTCTGACACCTCAACTGTTGCACATCCTTCCACAAGCAGCTGCCCCAAAGTTTGGTCCTCCCTTGGCTGAACCTCTTCAGCAACGGTCGTTGAAAGCCTGCCCTTCTCTTCAGCGGTTTGCCGCCGGCCTTCTTCCAATCGATCTTAGACCATCCAAAGATCGCTGATGCCAATCTGAAGGCAAAACGTTCCAACAACATTTCTCCTCAGTGCGACAGCTTAAGAGTGCCAAAAAAAATCGCCATTTGGTAAGGGTCAACCATGGTAAATTCATTCAAAACCCCAAAACCAAAATCGACAAACATTTACATGTGTATATATATATATATACAAATAATATATATATATATACAGATATATATATATATATGATACGTATATATATATATATATGTACAGATACGTATATATATATATATATATCAATTGTACCATACCGTAGCCAGATATATCAGAAACAGACATCTCCCCAGAACAAAATATGGTTCCAAATCCCGCCAACCAGGTCGCCTTCCATGAAGCGTTCCACTTGGTTCGGCATCCACCGCAGCTTCAGCTCAGGGTCCCGCGCCCGCAGAGCCGCGGCAAAGACGAACTCCGCTAGGCCCTGCATGTGGTTGTCACCACCGAAGGCAAAGACCAGCCCCGATTGGAGCACTGGCCTTAGCGGGGGATGATGGACTCTCCCCAAACAGTTGTATGTCTGTCTATGTGTATATGTATATGCATATGCATATATATATAATATGATATCGTATGCGTGTATGTATATGTATTTATATGTTTTTATTTATTTATATATTTATATTTACATTTATATTTATTCATATATATATATTATCTATATTTATTTCTCTATTTATATCTCTATTTATATCTCTATTTATATATATATATTATGTATATCTATATTTATCCGCCGACCCCAGCCATCAGCAGGGGGAGCGCGTCAGAGGAAAGGCAAACAGTGCATGGGACGGCCACTTTGTTCAGTGGCTGCCAAAAAACGTCGCCGAAGTCGATTTTGGACTGTTTTTGAACCATTGCTTGACGTTTTTTGACGATGTTTTGCTGCGCTCGGGAAGGAAAAACATCGTATTAAAATACAGTGTGTTTGTGCTCTTAGAAATTGCAACATGGTGAAAACTGCGTAAATACAATTGTTCTCGCTAGGCACTGGCACAAAAACATTGCAAATACCGCGATTCTGGCTACCAGAGGCAAGAAACATCGCAAATACCGTGGTTTTGGGCTTCCGAGGCGCAGAAAACATCGGTCTTTACCATGATTTTTGTTCCGATGGTTTCAAAAATATGCGGAAACACCGCTTGGCGATTTTTAGGGGTCCACAAAAATGCGAAAATAAGCTGTGCTGCAAGAACAACAGCAACAACAGCAGCAACAACAACAACAAGAAGAAGAACAAGAAGAACAAGCACAAAAATTCAACAAAAAGATGTGGTAAGATGGTTACAAGCTGCACAAGAACATCACACTGTGCTCTGCGCCTGCGCGCACGCGCAAAGCACATGAACAACACCAACGCTCACACTACTATACATAACCCTCATGGCATCGCCTGTGTGCGAAGCTCTACAATCATATATATATATATACATATGTTTATTTTTACTTATATAGAGCTCATTAAGGTGCTATAACAATTGAATGGTTTCATACCGAAAACCCAAATTTGCGCAGTGGTTCAAGAACTAGACAGCTACATAAAGCTACTCCATCAACTGCACCTTCTGTGTGGCTTGGAGCCTAGCTGCAGCTGTGGAATGAAGAGCCGGGTCAAATCCGCGATGGCCATGGGCATCTCTCTGCCCGCTCTCCCAGTCATCAAGGCCGTCGTCCGTTGCAAGGCAGGTCGGTTCATAAAAATGCCACGCGAGGACCAAATCACTTCCAGCATGTCGCCTCCCCAAGACAGAGCTGGCATTGTCACACCTTGGAGACAGCAGGGACTCCTCAGCCTGATGTTGCATGGGTACAAAAGTACAAACATGAACTCCTATGGCACTGCTTGGTCCATTGCAATCTATTTCAGTGTCTCTTTCGCTTGGACAAGTTGAAGTTGCCTCCAAGCAACCATGCTGTTCTGCAATGATGCCCCGACCCAGCATGATTGGGGTGTTCGGCGACCCTGAGCGCGACAAAGCAGGTGACACACTGCAATGTGGATGAGCTTTTCTCCTGACCAGCCATATAATCTCATCTAGATCTAGCCCCTATGAACCCAAAAAATGGATGGTTTAAGTTCCTTGGGAGAAAAGGTAGCCAAAAATTGTGGGTCCAGGAGTGTCTCATTTTAGGTCGCCATGCTCATAGGCACGATCATCTTTGGCCAAAACCATCCAAAACGGTTGAACCGTGATTCTTGCAGGTTGAAACCCAAGCCTGTGATGTTGAATCTCCCTTTCTTCTGAGATAAACCTCCAATTTTCTCTGGTTTGGGTTTGGTGCTTCATTTCTTGCCATGGCCCCCATGTCGGTATGGTGCTGGCGCCATGGGACAGCCAGCGTTGCTGGAGAGGAATTGCAGCACCTCCACGATGGCCCCAGTGTTGACCACTGAGTTCGCGCGGAAGTAGCCCAGCCAATCCTCGGGAACTTTTGGTCCAAGGAAAAGGTCTGGAAAATCTATGGGTTTTCTGAATGAAGAAAAATGTGCACTGACTGGTTTTTTGAAAGCAACTGCGATTTGGAACTAGCCTTTGGTTCACTACCCAAATTGACCAAAATCCGCGGTTCAAACTGGGCCTTTGGCTCATACAAGTGTGATTATGTGCATATGGAATCATATGATCATGTGTATATATATATGTATACACTATATCTCATTTATGTCGTACTACTACATGCTACAGTAATATGAATGTCATATATCAAGTGCGTATACTAATGATTACTCATGTAAGCTATAGTGGCTATAGTGTCTAGATTCGGGCCTGCACATATGATTGGATTTCCATGGTGGATTGCTGACTTTTCCAGCGGCATGTCCTGTCCACCGCAGGAACCGGTGGAAGTGGACCCAATGGACCCGGCCGCGTTTGAATCGGCAGTCCCAAGGGTCGTGCTCCGGCGTCATTGTCCGGAACCATCGGAATGAATGAGGCCTGTGACTTTTCGGTTTGCGTCCCTGTATGTCGGACCGAAACCGGTGACAGAGGTGACATCTCTTCCTGGCATTGACATTGCTGGTTCAAACTGTTCAAAGCTTCAAGGGACTCACGCAACTTGTCCAAATGGTCAAAGACACCTTGCAGTTCTGACAGTTGCTGCTCTCTTCGAAAGTTCGGTTCCGCCTCCAGCTCGTTGATGGCGTTGATTTCCATTCCATCGATGCGGTCAGAGAGCCTTTGCGTCGCCCTGCGGCTGGCTGTCTTGCTGCTAGATTCTGCTTGCCACATTGCTGCAGTAGCTGACCAAAAATTTCGAAAAAGGCGGCACTGCAAATCGAGGCCAATCAAGTTGACCCGACTCCCTCGCAAACGCATCAGCCCTTCTTGCAACTCCTCAAGTGATATGCTACGATTGTGATCTGTGTCAAGCACGTTCTCCAAATCTTTGGTGGATGGCAAGGCAATATGCATCTTGTCTAAAAGCACCTTGGCCCCTAGCGACTTCAGCAAAGCAACATATCCTCTTCGATCCAGCTGGCCCAGAATATCTTTGGGGCCTATCTGATAAACATCACGGATCTCATCCCTCAGAGCTTCAAACTTCAAGTACTGCTCCTGGGCCGAAGATGGAGGCTTTCCTGATGCCAGTTCCAGCACCCCATCACAAACCACCCCAGTGACCACGTTGAGAATGGTGAAGTTACTCAGTATCAAAAAAGCGATGACATACAGAGCCCACCTGAGTGGCATCAAAAAGAAACTCGGAGTCAAATTGGACTGCAGTCCCCTTTTTTGGGAGTCAGATACCGTTCTTTTTTGGTTGAAAAGTCTGTGTCGTTTGGTGGTGAACCTTAAAAAAACAAACCATTTGAAACCAACAGTCAGCCACAAGGGATGATTCTGCATCATGACTTCTGCAATGTCCGGCCATGCTTCCACCAACACCAGTTGAAGGTGGATCAAGAAGCTGCTGCCCACCGAACCAAAGAGCTCTTCAAACGGAACTTCGCGACCCATAGCTTCACAACAGACCAAGGCGCCCACAGAAGACATCATACCAACCAAAATCATGCTGTCCATGATTGCAACCATGGTACCTATGAGCCCCTTGATCAACATGGACAGGGCTGGGAAGATGGAGAGAATCCGACCAATGCGCAAGATGCGGAGCCTTCGTGCCGACTGCACTGCCATCATGAGGTTATCAGAAACACCCGAGGCCAAATCGATTGCCACCACCACCGCCGAAAAGACGCCAGTGACCAGCAACAGCAAATCAATGATACCGGCAAAAGAGGTCACGAAGCGCATCTGCAGAGCATGACAGCGCAAAGCATATTCCACGGAGAAAACAAGAAGTAGAACCACATCCAGAAACTCGAAGGCTATGGACCATCGCAGTGGCATGTTCAGCCCATCCTGTTGAGCGTCGAGCTCCAGGCTCACTTCAGCACCCAGCAGAAAGGATTGAAAGGCGATGACCACAGCAATGAGTAGATTTGCTTGTGGTGTGAGGATCCAATCAACCTCCGTCTGAGCAACTACGTGACCACGATGGATTCTGTCAAGTTTCAGCCATTTTGGAGACTGCTTCACATCCAAAATACCCGAAGGGCTTGATTTCAGCCGCTTCAGAATGAATTCCTTGGAAGCACCATCGATGCCATCTGCATCTTCCTGAGATCTCTGGATGGACTGCAGTGCAGGTGCGTGGGCAGCAGCTAAAGCTCCAGCTCGCATGGCGAGAGGCCACTGGGCTATTCCCAGCCAAAGACATCTGCTCCGGGTGGTATTTAAATAGCAGATTTATGGAATTATTTATGGTGCAAATGGAAACTTTAAAAATTCACCAGCCATACAATATTTTACATATCAATACATATCATGATTTTTAGCGTTCGCCATCAAACATAGGGGTCCATGAAAATAAAATTGGGCCAAATCTGGGACTGTTGGACCACCAGAACCCCCCAAACGAGGAGTTGAAAGTCTAGGAGGTTAAGAAAAGGTGGTGTTGTTCCCTGCTATTAGGACCTAATATAGTAACCCTACTATCACTTTACTTCGAGATATAAACTATATTCTGATGGGGAAAAAACTAGGATGGTGGTCATAGTCTATGTGATCTGAATGATTTATATTATATAAACATACTTTTCTGATCAATGATGTCTTTAGATTTGGCCAAGATCGGAGCAACTCACCTACGCTCTGAAGAGGGAATCTTACAGGACTTCACAGTTAGTGATGGGGATCATAACAATTACAACAATTGCTATTTGAATGGCTTATGATACCAAAATATCTTTGGCTATTTGGCCCCGATCTTTAAAATGTCATCCCAAATTCTTCTGCTGGTGAAAAATTCTCCACATTTTTTCTGCTGATTGATACCCTCGCTGGCCAAGGCTTTGCTGATTCGTTTGATCTGAGCGAGGCAGAATCTGTGACAGCCTGTGACATCCTGTGACCTGCAGCACGTCAAAAATCCGAAAATCTCATGGGGTGCTGGGTCCCTAACGGTTTGTCTGAAAGGGATCCCAAGATCCAATATCAATGTTTATCATCAATGTTTATCATCAATTTCCCCAATGAAATCCATGAATTTTGGGGCACACCCTATTTTCAGACAAACCTATCACTACAAAAAATGGTTCTACGGAACATGGGGAAGAGTGTGTCCTGAGGTCAATGGGAAGCAAATGACTCAGAATTCAAGAGTAACCCCGAATTCCCCCACAAAACCTAGGAAAAAAACATGAAACCAGTCCAAGTCAGCTCCGAAATGGTTTTCACCCAAAATCTTTGACCCAAAGATTGGATTTGGTTCGCAGTCCAAACAAGGCAAAATGACCAACAGCAGTGGTTGTCCCTCGAGGAGACATGTCCGTTATCGATGGGTTTGATTTTTAAAGGGTTGGAATGTTGATGAATTTTCCAATTGTGTGTTCGAAACCATCACTGATTCTTTGGGTTCTTATCCCTATTTGGGGTGATTTTCCGGCAGGATTTTTTCTAGGGCCTTGCTGCTTAGCACATCCTTACTGATGATTGAAGCCGATGTTCGCTCCATCTTCCGATCATTGAAGGTTGGGTCAACCCGAACCTGGGTCATCCTTGGTGGCTTTCTATGGTGAACCAACCATCTATGGTGATCCGAACTCGCTACTGGTCGTTATTGGTTCTAGTAGATCCCCATTGTTTCTGGTGAATCTGGTGTTTTTCAACTTTCTATTTGTTCCTCACCAGTCCCATCTCGCCCCAGTCGTTTCATCCCCTACCACCGTGGCCCGCATGGCCCGCGTGTCCCAGCGTCGCAGTCCTCTTGGAGCACCTCTGGGGTACTCAAAAGACGAAGTCGTCGCAAGACCTGCCAGGAGATGCTCTCCAGGATTAGCGTCTCGTTGCCTCGGCTATCATACACGTTGACAAGACAACCATAGGGCAGGGATGTCTACATATACAATCATATGTATATATATATATATACATATGTGTATATATATATAATCATATATATATATACCTATTATAAATGTGCTAAATTGTATGTATCCTTTGGATAGGAAGGTGGAATATCCATCCATCGATCTCAGTATTGAGATTATTTCCTGTTGGGGATGTTTCATTTTGATGTTCTACTCCTGTACATGGAGGAACCCCAAATGCGTATAGAAGTAGTGGTTCCAGGTGTCCAACTGTTCAATATTCTCTGTTCCATTCTGGGATTGCGACAAGTTGTTCGTTCGGAAAACACAGAAACAGGTGAGAGTTGAAGACTGGAACAAGAAGAAAAGATTAAAGAGAAATATGACGGAAATCCTGACTGCGCCGGGGGCTCAAGTTGTTTGATGTCAAGACATGTCAAGTCTTATTTCGCAACGAACATGTTTTAAGCTCAACAATAAATGCGTGCTAGGATTAGGATCGCTACTGTATGTTCTGGCATCATTGACTCAGGGAAAAAGTGCGGTGGTTTCCAGAGAAAATGCTGATGGCTACCCTCTGAGTTCAGCACCACCCCAATGAGATGGCGGGGACCAATCTGATTCCAGCTCCTTCAGTTTGTCCACGCATCTGGAACCCAAATCAGCAAGGAAAACCCAATCCATCGATGCCGAAGTGTTTCAACTGGCGCTGACCTGGAACATTCGGAAAACCCAAATGAACCCAACACATATTTTGGGACATCCCCCTTCACAATCCGGTCCTGCAAGACCTTGAAGCCGTGGTGCTGGTATTTCTCACGCAGCCGTTAAGGTGGCAATGGTTGATGTACCCAGACCTGATTTCCCTCCACGATGGAAAAGCCAGGATGGTCTGAACCTCCTGCGGAGACACTGGAGCAAACCAGGGTCATCAGAGAGGTTCATGTTTTGAAGTCCTCTCTTGGCCTTTTAAGCCACCGCATTGTGAATCATCAATGGCCACCCGTAAATCATTGGATTTGGGGGTCGTTTGGCGCATGGGCCATCGCCATTTCTTGACATGGGTGTGTTGCAGAACGGTAAGGACTCTGTACCAAAATCTATGGTTTTGGACATGTCCTTGCTTCGAATCCAAAGTCTTGCCTTCAAACATACGAAAGCAAGCCATCCCAAAAGATGAATCAACCACCAGGAACCGTCCAAAAAGTACGGCAGAACCATTTCGCGAATTTCGCGCTAAGTTCAACTTTCCCAATGTGTCTGAAAACGGTGGCATCCTCCAAAATGGCAATGCTTTTTCCGTGATCATGATGATTCCTTAGTTCCTTGAATGGGATAATGTAGAAATCCTAAATCTTCCTAAATCTTCCTAAATCATCAAATGAAGAGTTTTCATGTCAACTATAGTTGGCCTATGTTGGCCTCATCCCCCATCTCCATGGCCTTCCATCAGTTGTGAGTCCCTGACCATCCAGGTGACCACTGCGCCGGGCTTGGACTGAGCCCAGGTCTGCTGCGCCACGCTGCGCAGGAAGGGCCCTACCCCGAGGCCGTCGACCATCATACACAGCGACATCGCGGTGACGCGCGATGGACCAAAGATGGACAAAACAACGCGGAAGGTTGGGGGAGGTTGGGGGAGGTTGGGGGAGGTTGGGGGAGGTTGGGGGGATGCCTGAAAGTGGTAGAAATTGCCTGTTGTTGAAGAAGAAAAATACCAGTTGGGACAAAAACATGATATGATCGATAGTAAAAGTGACCAACAACATGTGGTTTCCTTCATCTTAGCCAATACCTCCCATGAGGGTGGCTCCTCACTTTTGTTTCTCTTTTTTGCCGTGTCCTTTTGAGTGTTGCAGTCGATGCCTTCTTTTGGTTCTTTCCCTACATACTTGCTTGGGAAGTGCTCAACACAGTTTTCAACCCCCTTAGTGTACTGAGATATGTTCTGGATACCACTCATCTGGGGTTGTCAGCAAGGTTTGCTGCATCTTGAGCCAGAGATTTGGCAAAGGCTACAACTGGATGCAGCCTGACCTTCCTGCCAAAAAATCTAATCAACATGTGGCTATGGATCCTTGTGACTCCCAAAATGGCTGATAAATAAATGTTCATCCCCAAATACTGACTGAGCCCATAAATTATAACTCATACCCATGTCTTGCTGGGGTAGTCGAAGCATTTTTTGACGGAAAAGATGTGGCACTTGCCACGGCCCACTGTGCAAGCTCATTTGAGCCTGCTACACTGCATGAGCTCATTTGCGTATCTTTGATCATCTTGATGGATCATGCAAAACATCAATCAAGAACCGATGCAAGATGTGATGAACGTCTGCAAAAAGTGTGTGTGTTTCGGTTGCGACATCTCCAAGTGTCGAAGAGCTTCAAAGCAGTGTGCTGATTCTGGCTCTTCATTAACTGAACTTCGGTCATCTTCCCCGAAGTTCCAGGGCACCACAGCCCTCTGAACCGCCAAGGCGCGTGGAGACTCAGAGTCTACGCCAACTTTTCAACGAGTTCCTTCCCAGAGACCCGAATGCTCACCTCATTTCGACACCCAAAATCTCAACATAGCGCGAATTCTCAGCAAGGCACAGAAGTTGGGAAAGTCACATGTTGCGAGCACTCAGGCGAATCGTTTTTGCAGATCATCCAACTATTGTGACGTGTTGGAGATGATGTGACGTGTTGGAGATGTCCCTGATGATTTTGGATCAACTTTGGGATCATCCAACATGGGACATCGACAAACTATCCGAACTATCCAAGGATCCCATCCCTTGGCAGGTCCACTTCCTTCTTCTAGCCTGACCGTTGGCCCATCTTGGGGCGTTTGAATCCATGCCGGGGCGGCTCATTCCAGGGAGATATTAAAGTCAAAAGATATGAACAGGTCAGAAATTTGAATTGAACTGAATTGGATTGAATTGATTCCAAACAGAATTACAGTATCCGAAAAGGATCAGAAAAAGACAGCTGTTTGACACCGGGCAGGCACTCAGAAAGTGCCTGTAGCAGAGTCGCTCGCCCACCCGGGCCACTTCTTCAACAATGGCTCCGGTGGAGACCTTGGCTGCCCCCAAAAAAAAACATCGAAGGTTGGATGGGATTGGTCCATTGGCTGGCTGTAACTCCAGCGACTCGGGTTTCTGGTAGAGAGATACATGTGAGTGTGTGTGTGTGTGTCTGTGTAAAATATTTTAGATATACATGCATATGTATATATATAATATATATTATAATATATATAAATAGAGAGAGAGCGAGAGCGAGAGCAAGAGCGAGCGAGATCATAATGCAGCATTAGTGTTTTTGGCGGCCATGGGCACTCAAGTGTCTGTGGGCCCGCATTGCGACTGCATTCAAAGGTCCGCGCGAGAGCCTGCTGATGAATTCTTTGGTTTTGTCTTTTTCTGTTTGTGTTTTCATACTCCGTTCGTTCGTCCGAAAGATTGTCCCAAATATATTTGTGCCTAAAGTGTCGCCATTGCTGCCTCGGACCTCCTACCCTCCTCTTTCCCATGGAAAACCACATATGCTGCACTGGGTTCATAGGCGGTCTGTCGAAAGGATCACTATCATCGGTTCTGAGAATATGTCCAGCTAAAGCAACTTGTTTCTTGAGGAGCTCCGAAAACAACTGTATTTCACGTCCCGAGTGTTCAGAATCAGTCCTCCGCACAAATTCATTTGTGTTCATATGATTGACAAAGGTGGTCTCTAGTCCTAAAATGGATTGAAGCCCATGGAGGTGGAACGCATCTATCTTCTCTAACATGGCTTGGGTAAGGTGAAGGGTTTCTAGCTCATAAATGAGTTTGTTTTGGATGATCGCGTGATAAACACGTAGCTTCCACCTCGTGGTGCAAGCGCAGCTTTCCAAAAAGCTTTGAGTTTGAACCAGGTGTTCATAGATTGTTGCATTCTTTGACCCACTTTCTGTGCTACATTGAATGACTGGGTGATATGACTGGGTGATGTGATGCCTCAAATACGTACATTCTGTACACCTTTTAAGTTTGGTTCCATCATCGAATCTGATTACATTATTTCTGTTCATCGCAATACAGGAACATTTATATACTCCAGTTTAGCAAGAGTCCAAACTCCAAACTGCTTCGAAATTCGTTCTACTGTCCAAAGTATGGCGAGGAGAACAGTGTCATCAGCGTAGTAGAATCTACAATATAGTTGGGGCCATACACCAACAAACATAAGTGAATTGGGGGTCGTCTTGTACCGTCTGAAGCTGAGATCGTGGCTCGACCCAGTTCTGGCGATTTCAACGATTCCGACTGTCGCACGATGATTCCGCCTTTATCAGCTCCTTTCCGAGTGAGGGTGGGTGGATCTTTTTGTTGCCACTGGTGATTGCAACCAGTTCTCAGAGCCTCCACAAGTTCTTTTTCAGATTTCCTGTCGAATATATAAGTTTTCTACATTAGGGATATCCATTGATCTTACCGAAAAAACTTGGGGTCTTGGGATGCCTCCAGTGATTCTCCAGCGCGGCACAGCTGGAACAGCTGGAGCTGACGTGGAGTCATTGGCAGGACTTTCAGCGTCCTGCGAATGTCAGGTTCCATGTATGGCTCAAAGTCATGTTGGCCCAAAAGTGCATGGTCTCAAGTTCAAGTTTCAAATAGAGAAAACCATGGAAAATATAATATATATATATATATTACCAAATGTGTAAATGTATATATATATATACATAATATTGTGTGTGTATGTATGTATATCTATGTATCTATGTATCTATGTATCTATGTATCTATCTATCTATCTATCTATGTATGTATGTATGTATGTATGTGTGTGTATGTATGTGTATGTGTATGTGTATGTGTATGTATATGTATATGTATATGTATATGTATATGTATATGTATATGTATATGTATATGTATATGTATATGTATATGTATATGTATATGTATATGTATATATACATAGATTATATTCTACATACATACACGAACATGTGCTAATTCCGGGTCCAAAATCCTTGAGCCAAACCCATCTCCAGCATCTCACCTCGTGAATCACGGCCTCGGTGCTATGGCCATTCGTCAAGCCATTGCCGGCGGGCTCGTGGGCGTCGGGGCCAAGGTACTCGAAGTCATAGATCACCTGGCTACAACCACCAAAACTTCTCAACAAATGGGGTGATAGTGGAAACTGATTATCATTGGGTTTTGGCCAAAACCAAAACCGATTTGGATCCATGGGTGTTGATCTTTTTTACTTGATTGTGGAATATGAGCCCACTCATAAGTAGTGGGGGTGCAGATATGTGCAGATCATCAAAGGGATACGGATAGTGATCGTTGGAGGACTGTGGCCTCAAATGGGTACCAACGCAGCCACCAATCGCTGACCATTTGGGTCTGTCATTTTGAGCCAGTGTCATTTTTGTATTGACCAGCTTCGGCCAAACTTGGATGCCCGAACAAAAAAGTCTACCCAACCTGTAGAATAATCCGTTGACCCCATAGCCCAAGAATGTGTGCGACCACCCATCGCCCTCGCCTGCGGATCTACTGAGTCTGAACTCTTCACAGCCAAGCCATCCTTTCCTCGGTTTTTTAAGGTGCTGACAAAGGCATAACATCCGGCATGGCCCCGGCATGGCCACATGCGGTGCTCAAAACACTCTTGAGTGACCCATTGTTTCAAAAAAAAAAATGTGTTTTTTTTCGACAAGTCTAAACTTTTTACCAGTACCCATCCATTGGTCAAATTCAGCCAATCCTAGTGGCATCCCACTACTTGGGCGTCCCTGAACCAACTGGGGCAGGGACGCAGCTCAAACCATGCAGCATGTTCCGGAGCCGACGAGGTCATCGTTCCTAAGATCCCATGGATATCCCATGGATTTCTGGGATATTTCTGGCTGAAAAAGTGGGATATTTATTGGGTTAAAGGCCATAAATATATATATATATATAAAGATGCAAATGCGTTCTTTTGTTTCCACTTCGCAGCAATTTTGTCAGAACATAAAAAGAGGATATAGCCTACAGTGGAAATAACCCCGACATGTCATCTCCAGACACTTGTTTCATAGGTTCAAGCCGGGCCAGACCCCTGGCATGGACCTCAAAATTCATGGATCTCCCCCTACATGCTGAGCCAGACCTCCAGCTGTAGAGTAGCTGATCACCTTGAGGTGGTTTTCCTGTAGGTCAAACAAAAAAATAAAGTACCGCTCACGTTCAGAAAAACAGCCTTTTTTGGCTTGTTGGCTCTCTGTCGACGCTTCCTACCCTCCATCAAGGTCTTGCCTCGGGAGGGCAGGGCGGGACTTGAACCAGAACACTTGGGAAACATGAAACAACATTAGCATCTTAACCCCCGGGGGCGGGAATCTAAAGATGCAAATGCGTTCTTTTGTTTCCACTTCGCAGCAATTTTGTCAGAACATAAAAAGAGGATATAGCCTACAGTGGAAATAACCCCGACATGTCATCTCCAGACACTTGTTTCATAGGTTCAAGCCGGGCCAGACCCCTGGCATGGACCTCAAAATTCATGGATCTCCCCCTACATGCTGAGCCAGACCTCCAGCTGTAGAGTAGCTGATCACCTTGAAGGGGTTTTCCTGTAGGTCAAACAAAAAAATAAAGTACCGCTCACGTTCAGAAAAACAGCCTTTTTTGGCTTGTTGGCTCTCTGTCGACGCTTCCTACCCTCCATCAAGGTCTTGCCTCGGGAGGGCAGGGCGGGACTTGAACCAGAACACTAGGGAAACATGAAACAACATTAGCATCTTAACCCCCGGGGGCGGGAATCTAAAGATGCAAATGCGTTCTTTTGTTTCCACTTCGCAGCAATTTTGTCAGAACATAAAAAGAGGATATAGCCTACAGTGGAAATAACCCCGACATGTCATCTCCAGACACTTGTTTCATAGGTTCAAGCCGGGCCAGACCCCTGGCATGGACCTCAAAATTCATGGATCTCCCCCTACATGCTGAGCCAGACCTCCAGCTGTAGAGTAGCTGATCACCTTGAGGGGGTTTTCCTGTAGGTCAAACAAAAAAATAAAGTACCGCTCACGTTCAGAAAAACAGCCTTTTTTGGCTTGTTGGCTCTCTGTCGACGCTTCCTACCCTCCATCAAGGTCTTGCCTCGGGAGGGCAGGGCGGGACTTGAACCAGAACACTAGGGAAACATGAAACAACATTAGCATCTTAACCCCCGGGGGCGGGAATCTAAAGATGCAAATGCGTTCTTTTGTTTCCACTTCGCAGCAATTTTGTCAGAACATAAAAAGAGGATATAGCCTACAGTGGAAATAACCCCGACATGTCATCTCCAGACACTTGTTTCATAGGTTCAAGCCGGGCCAGACCCCTGGCATGGACCTCAAAATTCATGGATCTCCCCCTACATGCTGAGCCAGACCTCCAGCTGTAGAGTAGCTGATCACCTTGAGGGGGTTTTCCTGTAGGTCAAACAAAAAAATAAAGTACCGCTCACGTTCAGAAAAACAGCCTTTTTTGGCTTGTTGGCTCTCTGTCGACGCTTCCTACCCTCCATCAAGGTCTTGCCTCGGGAGGGCAGGGCGGGACTTGAACCAGAACACTAGGGAAACATGAAACAACATTAGCATCTTAACCCCCGGGGGCGGGAATCTAAAGATGCAAATGCGTTCTTTTGTTTCCACTTCGCAGCAATTTTGTCAGAACATAAAAAGAGGATATAGCCTACAGTGGAAATAACCCCGACATGTCATCTCCAGACACTTGTTTCATAGGTTCAAGCCGGGCCAGACCCCTGGCATGGACCTCAAAATTCATGGATCTCCCCCTACATGCTGAGCCAGACCTCCAGCTGTAGAGTAGCTGATCACCTTGAAGGGGTTTTCCTGTAGGTCAAACAAAAAAATAAAGTACCGCTCACGTTCAGAAAAACAGCCTTTTTTGGCTTGTTGGCTCTCTGTCGACGCTTCCTACCCTCCATCAAGGTCTTGCCTCGGGAGGGCAGGGCGGGACTTGAACCAGAACACTAGGGAAACATGAAACAACATTAGCATCTTAACCCCCGGGGGCGGGAATCTAAAGATGCAAATGCGTTCTTTTGTTTCCACTTCGCAGCAATTTTGTCAGAACATAAAAAGAGGATATAGCCTACAGTGGAAATAACCCCGACATGTCATCTCCAGACACTTGTTTCATAGGTTCAAGCCGGGCCAGACCCCTGGCATGGACCTCAAAATTCATGGATCTCCCCCTACATGCTGAGCCAGACCTCCAGCTGTAGAGTAGCTGATCACCTTGAGGGGGTTTTCCTGTAGGTCAAACAAAAAATAAAGTACCGCTCACGTTCAGAAAAACAGCCTTTTTTGGCTTGTTGGCTCTCTGTCGACGCTTCCTACCAAGGCCCCCAGATCTTCCAGGAACTGGAGGCTCAAGTGTTGTGAAATTCAAGTCACGTGTTGTCAGACTAAAAACACTCAAGAAAGGCTTCAAATCGGGATGAGTCTTTGGAAGGTGCATGCTGGTTAGCATTGCAAGCCCTTCATTCAAATATATTCGGGCAGTCTTTTGTGAGGCCCAGCGGCCCTGAATTAGTAGTCTGTCTAAAGATTGGTGACGGCTGAACCAAAAAGTGGCTCCACCTCTGCGGAGACTATAAGGTCTAAATTGGTGGCCCTCAACATGCAACGCATGAAGGCACTCGTTGAAAAGTTTTCTCCATTGAGCTGTTGATCTGACTAATGGAGTTACAGGTTGGGCTATTTTCTTCCAGCATTTCACAAGCAACACAGCCGGTTCATAGCCAAGGATCACGCTTTCAGCGGCCCCCCGGCGTTTCCCTCCTTTAGTTAGGCCTAAACTGACTACTACCTGTTTGTCATTGCGGCCACACATTAAGTTGCAAGATCTGATGTTCAAGATCTCTCCTGTGCGTAGCATACAGTAGAAACCCAGGATAATAGACACCCCAAAGGAGTACCAACCATGAAAAAAGGCCCACCCCGCCATGGCGTGGACCACGTGATCAGGGAACGGGGGCGCCCGTGCTGGAATTTCATTTATTGACCAAGTTTTGAGAAGTCGCCAGGCTTCGGGCAAATGATGGCGAAGATCCGGCTGTAGGTCTTGCAACCCTGCCAAAGTATCTGCTGCCTGTGCCCTTCCAGCCCCTGTGCTCCACAAATACTCGATATAGTCGGACAGCAAATGGTCGAGCTTCGACTTCTGTGATGGCAGGCTGAGGTTAGCTTTGCGCAGGAAGGAGAAAAAAGCTTCAGTGGCTAAGGCATATCTTCGTTTGGTTGCAGGTTGGACTGTCAGTTCTCTAAGGCTTCCGAGCTTCTGGCGTTGGGTCGCCCGGTCCTGGGGCAGGGCTGACTCAAGAAGTCGTTTCCTTGGCATTGCGATACTTAGTGCGAACTCGCTGCCCCCACCTGGATGGGCGGTCAGCCGGGTTATCGTCCGTGTGGACGTAAGCCCACACTACCTGGACATTCCCCGCCAGAACCAAGGCGTTAACCCTAGCCATAGTGCGTCGGAGCTTCCGAGAACTGCTTCTTCCCCGTGACAGGGCATGCAAGCACACCAAACTGTCAACCAGGTGAACCATCCGGCAACCAACCTGTTTTTGCTTTTCGATCCTCCACCGAAGCGTGGTCAACACGGCCCTTAACTCAAGGCTATTGATGTGCTCGGACCCATGTCGCCACTTCCATCCTGCTATGACACCCCACTTCCACATCTTGGCCGGTACACTGGCGCGCAGACGATGAAATCTTGCCACCTGCGTTGTGGGTGTCGACAGCAAAATGTCTTCACCCTTGATCGACACCAAGTTCCCCAGCTTGCATGCTAAGGTATAAGGGTCCGCGTCACTCACCTTCCGCGATGGGTTGAGGGGCAGCCGAGCTAACCGCCCCCGGACAAATGGATGGGTTCCTGGTCTGCACGCGTCGAGGATATCCTGAGGGCTCTTGGCCCCGATCCATCCTAGCCATGAGAAAAGCTGACCCAAAATCCAAGCCACTACAGGAACTGACCAGCTGTTGCCCAGCAGAGTGAGCCGGGTATCGTTGTACTCAGTTCCTTTCCGTTGCGACTTCGGCAGGCACATGGCAGTGTAGTGCAAGGGGAAACCCAACATGAGCTCCCGCTCAGAGACATCAGGGAGTCTGAACTCCCCGGCTCCGTTGCGCAGGCAGTTGATCTGCTTGTACTGGTACGGGGGGAAGCGAAAGTCATCGTTATGCCAGCGCTCCAGCTCCTCCAAAGTACATTGATGGATCCCTGCTGGTTTGCGTCCCGCCTTGGGTCATGGCCTGCTGGTAGTGAAAGTGGGGAAAGCTCGGTCCTCATCCTCTTTGTGCCACCCCGCACGGATCACTTCCGTGATATCCTGATGACCCACCAGTTTCAGGGTAAGGATTTCGCCTGTAGCGTCCCACTCTGCACCCTCACCAGGCTCAACTTCCCAGCTGATCCAGTAAAGCCGTGGCCTGTGGCACCACGTCATAGTGCCTGCATCGCAGTATAGGGGTTCTCCCTCATACCCTTGGCTCATCGCTTTCCTGTCCGCGGCATCCATGGAGCTCACTGACTCCATCATCACATGGACTGGACACCAAGGGAAGGCCTGCTGCACCAATTGACGTACCCGAGGAACTTCCTTGAAAAGACATGATCTCTCGTCTCGCAATGCTCCTTTACGGTCTGAGTTCAGACCTGACACCCCCTGGCACGGAGGGCCAGCTCCAATGACCACCATGCTATTGTGAGAAACGGCATGCCCATCGTCTCACCATACCCAACCTAACACCGGGATAATGCGACTCCACCACGCGCTGGGCCGAGGGATTGCACTCGACTGAGACATGCCCTGCCACCGTGATACCAAGCACATCAAGGGCTACCCTCAGCGCCCCGATGCCGTCAAACAGCCCAATGGAAAAGACCATCAGATCGCCAGCTGACTCAGGGACTTGGCTCCGCAAAGCACCTTGCGATACCATGAACCCCAATGGGGTCAGGCGCTCCGAGGCGCAGAAGCCCCCACCCAGCTGAGAGGCATCACTACATGTCACCATCTCGTGCATGTCAAGCCTGAAGTCCAACCTAGCCAAGGGAATCAATCCAAGGAACCTAAGCAGCTCCAGCTTGCACTCAGGCGGAGTCACCAAAATGCGCCGCCTCAATCTGCCAAAAGCCAAGATATGCTGCCAAACTTGATTCAAGGCGCCTAGCAATGGCCGCCTGAACATACTGATATACACAAGGCCGCCACAGTGCCACTGCTTCTGGGTTGCCTTCACCTGTTGGCATAGGTCAAGAGCCATGCTGAAATACTTCACCAATTTGGCTTCCCGTGGGAAAGCCACCCCCTCCTGTCCGTCGATCGTGGCCCCTTGCAGCTCACATCTGCGAGACCTTTCCACTGACTTCTTCAGATTGCGGGGAACCCCCCACTTCTCATATTCATGCCTCAATGCGAGGATCCCCGCGGCACGGGTGCCTTCCAGGGTCACTACATCGGAATCCACGACCTTCTCCAGGAGGTCATAGTTGTCGAGATAGACCCGCCAATTGGTGCCATGCTCAGAGAACTCCCGGTCTTTCCGCAACTCAGCTTCAGGGACATTGGCCCCGCTTGCACTGGACTCTCTATCCAAAGCACTCCATTTCACCAGGTTGCGATGGACGTGTTGAGCCAGGCTAACCGAGTTTAAGAAACCCATTGGCAAAACCCTGCTGGCCAGGTATACCCACCGCCCCTGCAGGGCAGGAGGCAACACTGAGTCGGGAACAACCTTGTTGAAAGCGAGATATTTTGTCCAGCATGAAGGAACGCTCATAGTATAGAAGAAGCATTTCACGTCTTCGCTCGATACCAAAAGCTGCTCATGGGGTTGCAGGAAAAACGGACTCATGGTGCTCCAGGCTGGCAAAGAATCCACATCCCCCGCCAGGGTTATGACTTTATTTCCAGCCTGAAGTGTACATGTAGTAAGTGCATGTTTTATGCATGTTCAGAATGCATGTTGCCAAAAGATGCATGTTCAAAATGTATGTGCTGAACTGCCCTCTTCTCAAAATGCATGTGGGACAGGCACTTGGTCACACACACAACACATATAGTGATAATAAACCAGGGTGAATTGATGGTTAAGTGGTTGATAATGCTTGATTGATGGCTAATCAATGGTTAATCAATGAATGGTTAAACGGTTGATAATACTTGATTAATGATTAATGGCTAATCAATGCTTAATCTATGGTTAAGTGGTTGATAATGCTTGATTGATGGCTAAAAAACATGCATTTTGGATTTGGGTGTTTTGGCCCTGGGGCCCCACACGCAAAAAACATGCATTTTGGATTTGGGTGTTTTGGCCCTGGGGCCCCACACGCAAAAAACATGCATTTTGGATTTGGGGATTCTGGAGTCAAAATTTGCCAAAAACCTCGAAAAAATGCATGTTTTTTGCATGTTGGTGGCCAAAACCCTAGCAAAATGAAGGAAACATGCAAAAAACATGCATTTTTTCGAGGTTTTTTGCAAATTTTGACTCCAGAATCCCCAAATCCAAAATGCATGTTTTTTGCGTGTGGGGCCCCAGGGCCAAAACACCCAAATCCAAAATGCATGTTTTTTGCGTGTGGGGCCCCAGGGCCAAAACTATAGTAATATAGTATATAAATATAAAGATGTTGGCTCTGGATTTGTTGATCATAATATGTCATATGTGCTGTTACTCTCTGTGCAGCCTTTGCTCTTCCTTCTCTTTGACTGGTTGTAGCAAGACCCTGCTGGGGCCTTGAACTGCGCTAAATGATTCGAATGGCCTTTGCAACTAGCCCTTCAAACACAGAAGGGAACAAGTTTCCACATGCAAAAAAACATGCATTTCCAACATGCACAAATCACCCCCCTGAAACTACATGCATTTCCAGCATGCAAAAGACGTGCATTCCAGTATATTCTGGATACAGTCCCTTTAGGCTAAGAAAAAGTCATAACGCCAGGGGTTTGCACAGAGCGTTCAATGGGATCAAGTTCATGATCAATCGGTATATGGGGACCCCTGTGGGGGTAGTTTCGTCTTTGGAAACACCAAACATACCATTTAGAACAAGCCCAGTCTTGGTTGTAAAGATTTCCTCTTCAGGGATAAAAGTGCACACCCCGGAGGAGATCAACCCATGACAAACTTGAGGCCAATCAGAGTCAGTGACCATAACTCGAGGGCAGGTCAGCTCCGGCCACTCCTCTTGCGGCTTCAAATAATTGTCGAAATTCAAGACGTAGTCCCTACAACCCAAAGAGCAAATCTCTTCCGGAGGAACAACACCCACCTCCGCGGGCAGTGCTGCCCCAATGTTTTCCCATCTGAACCATTTCGCAACTTTCACTTCGTCACCCTTGTAATCGATTGCCCGAACATTGAAAAAATTACTCCAATCAACATCCTCTACTGCTTGGTGTATGCCAGCAATACGCTTGACGTCTTTGAGAATTGAATCCAGGCACGCGCACTGCCCTTCGCTTGGCTGCCCTTCAAAATATAGGCCACTTCCCCAAAGGGAGTTCAAACTCAAACAAACCGACAAACACCAAAAAACCTCAAACTCTTTTAACTCAGGGTTGTGGTCCAGCAAGACCGTCCTAGAAGTGGGTAGGGGAAATAAATTTCCCGGTGATCCCCTACCCGTGTCCTGGCTGCGAAGTGGTAATACTTCTAGGAGACAATGGAAAAGATCTGAACCACACCACCCCATAGGAAGCCCTTGAAAAACAATCTGACACGCGCCTTTTTTGCTCTCTCGGAGGTTGCTCACTGAGTCTTCGCCCAGCGCCGCACGGCCTGTGCCATGGTCATTTGACCCTGTCGCCGTCTCCGCTGCCGCAGCTTTCACATGCAATGATTGCGCCGGAGCATCATAGGTTCGGCAAGCTGGTGCCGTACTCCAGCTGGAAGGCTTCTGCTCCTCTCGTCCCTGGGTGGCCAATGCCGTCCGACCCTTATAGGGGACTGTCTTAGTCTGGTCGCCTCCCCAAACTTCCGCTTTCTCAGGGCTATTGCACCCCGATCCTCGATCTTTGATCAGGGCTTGAGACCCCGCCATAGCGTCTGGTTCCTTCATGCCTCTCAACTGCCTTTTCCTGTCGCCTCTTCTTTCTTTTTCCAATCGCCTTTCTGATGCTGTCCTTTGCCTCCTTTCTTGCCTTCTCCCCGACCATAGTCGGATTTGCTTCCGCCTTTGCCTTTGCCACCAGCCTTGGCTCCTGCTTGAGGGCGCCCCTCCGGTTGTGCCGCCATCCAGCGCATCTTGGCCTCCTCTTGGGCTATCTTTTGTGCCTCTTTCATTTCGGCGACGCCTGTGAGGACGGCTTGCTCGGGGGGTAACACCTCGAGTTTCTGGCTCACACTCCAGTGTGTTCCCCCCATTGTAGCCTCGGCACTCTTGACCCGTTGCAACGCCAAATCCAAGGCCTGGGCTGGCTTTGCCTTCACCAAGTAGTCGGCAATGGCGCAGAGCGTGAGGACTTCTCGCCCCGCTGCTCCGCCAGCTTTGCGCTGGAGGACTTGGCGGTAGTATTGAACCGCTACCGCTGGGGCTCCTTTGGTTTTGTCCTCCTCCCCCCAGCTCTGCAGCAGGTGGGCCTTCATCTGGTTCAGGGCTTGGTTGGCGAGTACTCCTGGGTACCCTTCTGCCACCCCCCGCACCCGCGCCGCCTGCTGGAACAGGTTCTCTCCCTCGGCGTCCAGGCCTTCGCTTCTTGAGCTGACACTTGATGACTCCGAGCCACTGCTGCTTCGGCGTCCTTTTTTCTTGACATACTTCTGAGCTCGCCTCATGACCCGGGTCCGGATTCTTTCCGACGGATCCAGGCCCGTCCCCTTGTAAAGGGCTTTTGCTGTCTTCTGTGAGGCTATCTTGGGCTTCGTACCGTCCAGGGCTATCACCCCCGCGGCTGAGCCTGAGCTGCTGCCCGTAGAAGACCTCCTCCTCCTCTCTTTGCCTCGATCTTTTTCTTTCTTTGACTTCTTCTCCTTTTCTTTTTCTTTCTTCTTTCTTTTCTTCTTGCTCGGCGTTTCCCCGCGCGCATGGGGGGCCCCTTCTTGCCCCTCCATGCGCCGCCTCAGGGCTCCGAGCTCGTCTTGCTCTGCGGCCGGTGCAACTTTCTCCAGGTTCTTTGTCCACGGTTCCTCGGCTTCTGCTGATCTCGGCTTGCGCAGCCGGAGCCCGTGGATAACATCCTCTGCCGTCTCCTCGTGGTTGCACTCCGCCCCGCACAATAGGACTCTCAAGACCAGAGCCGGTGTGGCCGACTGCAACTTGAGAATTGCTTCGTCCGTGGTGCCTGTGGGGCAAAGGCGTAGTATAACCTGGTCGTTGGCTATCTCGACTCCCTGGATCTGCCCTGCCACCTTGCAGTCGCGGTGGAAGTATTTCGCCTCCTCTATCACAACTTCCCCCTGTTGTTTCAGCCAATCCAGGCTGATGTCGCGGCCTCGGACGGTGTGACCCCCATCCCAGGCCGCTTTGTGGTCTGTTGGACCGTCTGCTCTCCGATCCCGGCCTGCTGGGCGTCTCAGGGCTATAACTCCCCGCGCTCTTCTTTTTGCGCCTCCTTTGGCTAACGCTTTTCCTTTTGCGACCCCCTTGGGCCGGGCTTTCGGCATCCCTTTCGCTTTTGCTTTTGCCACTGCCTTGGCTTTGGGCGCCATTTCTACCGTCTCTTTCCGCGATTTTTCCAGTAGTCCACTCCTCGGTTATAGTGTGAATAGCCCTTCCACCTGCCCGTTCTCTTCGCAGGGTTCCCTTGCCCCGGGTATCGCCGTCGATCTCCGTGACTGGTATCTCTTGCACGCTCCCTGGGCGGTGACCCCGCCGGTTCAGGTGGCGCTCGGCGTCCAGCAGGGATTATTTCACCCCGGGAATGCCGGCCCGCAGTGCCTCGAATGGGGATCTGATCTAAACCGTATCGGCCCGGATCACTTCTGACTTCCCACTCGGTAGGCGGACCTGAATCTGTCCTTCTCCTCTTCTCTTCTCCTCGGGACTCCGCCTCTCTTGTGCGGTCGTACGGACTGACTTCCCTCCTTCTTTCTTCCGGATGTGGCTCTCTGACTCCTGTGGCTCGTAGGGGTTCTTCTCGCTCACGATCTTCTTTTTTCCCAGTCTCACGGCTTCTCTCCTCCTTCTCTCGGCTTGGACTTTTCTTCTTTGAGGCCTTTTCTTTCTTCTTTGCTTTCCTTTTTTCTTTCTTACTTGCACTTTCCTTCTTCTCCTCCGAGGCTTTCTTTTTCTTCTCCTGCGAGGCGTCCTCTTCTTTGCTTTCCTTCTTTTCAGGCACGGGTGATCTTCCTACCTCTGCCTTGTCTTCCTCACCGTCTCCCAAGGCACGGGTTCCGAACGGGCCACTGCCACTAACCTCCACAAGATCAGCTAAGGCACCCGCGCAGTTTCGCAATGCCCCCAGAGCCGCTCCCTCCTGATAGGGATTGAGTTTGCCTCCTTGCAAGAGGCTACCCACTCTAAAGTGGGTTTTGCAAACGGCGCAGGTCGGCACGCCGCTGAAAACACGGCAATGGGGGCACAAACTCATATACTTGAACCAGAACACTAGGGAAACATGAAACAACATTAGCATCTTAACCCCCGGGGGCGGGAATCTATATATATATATAAATATCCCATAATTGATCAACATTTATTGGGGATATCGGATATCCCTATGAAAATGTTGCTACATATCCCCTATGAAAATGTGTTGGCCACGGTTTGATGAAAATATTGAAAGTGTAACCTCTGAGGGCACCCGGCTGTAAAACGTTCAATGTTGAACCAACGAAAAAACGTTGGTGGCATTTGTCAGCCCAGGCACTTTTCAAATCCAAAATGGACGCATTCACATCCATGTCAAATTTGTGTGTCCACTCCTGCAGTGACTCACTGAATCGCTTCAGCAGAATCCAAAGAAGTTACAGCATCCTACCGCATTGTTGCTTGTCAGAAAAGAAATTGGTACAGTACCTATATAGAATTATCATGTTATCATGAATTATCATGGTTGTAGGAATTACAATGTTCCCATTGTTTGCAGGCCATATATTGGGGGTGAAAATCACTCTTTCTGGACACATCATGACACATCCATTTTGGTTTGTTCAATCACCTGGAAAAACTCACGGTTGACAGTTGATCCACGACCTTCCAAACTGCTTCGCCTGCTCTTCATATTTGAAGGCAATGGTGACAGCCGGCATTGCAAAAGACAAAAGTGAGATTCAATGCCACTCTTAACGGGCCCTGGAAAATATGACTCTGCCGCTTGGGCCCCAGGCTGCAAGGTCTGTAAACACCAAGCAGAAGGCATTGACCGGAGAGTGTGGATCGACAACTTTACCCCTGTGAACCTCATGAAATATGAAAAGAATAGAGTACATGGGAGACATTGACTAACCCAACTTTGGGTGCTTGGCTTTGACAAGCCAGAAAGTGAATAGTGTGATTCGCACAAAAAATGTCATTCAAATCGGTGTGTATATATATATATGTGTATATATATATATACACGTATATATATATATATGTGTGTGTATAGCTGCAGCCAATCTTTGCAGAAGCACGTGACATGACATGAAAAGTACTAGTCATTGAAAAAGTGCCACGTACCGTGAATAGTTCTCTGATTGAAGGCACCATGGATACCAAAAACGCTTTGCCATTGTGGTGTTCAGATGGAGTACTCCATGTTTGGCACATTCCTAACTCGCGGGGAGGCATGGGGTTTCCTTCCCATCCACCCAGCTTTCACCAGGCTTTTACATCCCAATCGTCTGCTCCAAATATGTACAACATGGCTAGCGTTTCAGCCACTCAGCCCGGTATAAACCTTTAGAGCCTCAGTCCAAAGGCATGAGATTGACTCATTTCCTTTTGCAAATCTCTATCTAGTTCTGGAGATAGGATAGGCTAGAAATACTTAGATACGTAGATGTATAGCCTGTATAGATTAAAAACATAGATGTAGATACAGAATTGTGATCATATCCTGCAGAAATCTGAATCCGACAACTTTCCAAAGTCTATGTGCCAAAATCCCTATGAAAATCCCTATTAGTGAACCCGAAAACGTAGCGGGTGTACAGCTGGATGATCATCCCTCATCAACCAATGTGCCAACGGCTGCCTCCCCGACACGTACGGACTCCGCGGCTTGCGAAGCGCGAAGGCCTCCAGGACACGTCACGCAGGGTAGCTGGATCGAGGGGGAGGGGCAGGTGAGAATTGTTGTTTAATGGATGTGAAAAGGTTTTAGAAATTTAGAATGTGAGTATTTAGTAGATTCTTCGGTCCTACTTGTTGACAATCGCATCTTGCCATAAAGCCTTAATCCAAAATCAGGGAAATGACAAACATTTTTTTATTTCAGTTGAACAAGATTTTCGATGAACCTCTGCCAAATATGTCTAAGTTTGATCACATTCCCCGCTGGGCTCCAGACCAAGCCCGCTGATACGATGGCGTAGGCCAGGGTCATGGCCGTCAGAGCAAGACCCGCCTGGGAGCTGCGACGGCTGTTTATTCGTTACTGGGAAACCCTCGACCACCCATAGGACTATATAATACTATATATACTATATACTACATATATATATATTATATATATACTATGTATATATATACTATATATAGAGGACTCATATGGACTCATAGGATTCTGATGGATTCCGGAATCAGCCATTTGTTGGTGGATCATCGCCAGGATCGTGCAGCCGCCTTTAGGGTGAATTCATTGGCCACTTTGTTCAGATTGTCGTCGTGAACCTGGCCCGAAGAGCCCCGAACCAGCCGTCGACTGGCCACTTTTGAAGACTTGGACCAGTCCGGACCAGTCCGCATCTTAGAGTTGCTGTCCAATCTCTGAGGCACAGGCCCATCGAATATACCTACAGTGCTACAGTCATTCAGGATGTGTCGATATGTAAGGTGCAGTTTATGAACAACAAATGGACTTGACATTTTCTGTAGTCATTCGACCATTTGGGGGGCCCAAGCAAGGACACTGCACTTGGAACACAGGACGATGCACATTTTCAGCAACTGCAACCAAGGCCACTGGACCGGAGCCAGTGCTGGCGAATTCATAAAGATCCACATCATGATTTTTGATCCACATAGACATAGACCCAAAAAAATGTATATGGATGTATATGGATGCATATGGGTTATGGTTTTCCCACCATGAATGGGATGTCTTAACCCATGTTAACCCCTATGAACATGGCGCTGAACATGGTGCTATGACCATTCCCCCAATCCAATGAATAGGTTCATCTAATCCGCCGAACATGGTCATTGGATGGTTTAAGGGACATGTTCTCACTTTTTAATGGGAAAACCCATGGAAAACCAATGGGGTTCCTGCAGATCTTCCCTTAAATCATCCCAAAGACATGGCGCATCCCCCTGTCTCGGCACAGCAACTTTGGATGTGGCACCGAAAGGAGCTGGTAGGTCGCTTCGGCCTTGCGACTGGCCTAGCCAAAATGACATGGCCTGAACTGACAGCGACTGTGATGTACTTCTGAGCTGCAAAAAATGTTGTTTTTAATACCATTTTATGCAAACAAATTTGTGGATGATATAAGCAATCAGAATGGTCAGTTTTCCTTAGTTGAAAGGACGCCTTAAGCGGGGTTGTGAACCACCTGCAATGTTCATCCAAGTGGGGGGAGGGGGGAAGGTGCGAGGCATTGTTTGGATATCAAACCACTCAATTCTCTGGAGGGATCAAAATCTGACTGATCTTCATATTTTGTGGGTTGTCGTCACATATTGGGTCCAAATGTTAGTGGTTGTAGAAAAAATAAACACTACCCACATCAGCCAGCTCTCAGCCTTGCCATACTCATCGTAGCTGCTGCCCGAAAAGAAGCCTTCGTTGTCGAAGATCACAATGCCGCCTTTGGCCTCATGCAACTGCGGCGACTGCGGGTTTGAGATGGAAAGCCACCACGAACCCCGCCAAAACCTGAGGGAGTTATAGTATAAAGTATGTACAAGTTATAGTCATCACATTTTATGGGATCAGAGCACAAAAAAGGAATCATGGCACATCATTCTGACAATGGCGGGTGTGAACCCCAGCCTTAACACTCGGCGTTACCATCCTGGTCAGAGGAAAACCCGCCTTGGTGTCTTTCGCATCATCACACCAGAAGTCTCCTGTCAGTTGACCATTTCAGCGAAAGCCGCAAATCGACGAATGCCAAGAATATGCCAAGGGCCAGGGACTTTCACTCATTTTGCAGTAGGTTTGCCTGTTCGAAAGTCAAGAATAAACCATCCATAAAATCACCATCAATGGCTGGAAAAGACCATGATGATAGGTTGGCATTGGGTTTACCAGGTTTACCACATGAAAAGACCATGCCTGAGATTTCCCACTATGCCACTTGTTGGGGCTGTCCTATCATCGAGCAGCAACTCGTGCCAACGGCCCAGTACTGCGGATCGCACGAAAACACGAGGGAAAGAAACACCCATTGGATGTGTCTGAAAATGGAGAAGTCACCAGCAACATTGACAGTTGATTGGGGAAAGTAAATGAACTTAATGATTAACCAGTGGATAGAATTGATTACCAAATTTTCAGACAAACCAACGTCTGACCAACTGGAAATTTGAAACAGACAATCAGCCTTTCAAAGTGTTCTGTATGCATCTCGGCTCTTCAAATTTCTTGCTATCCAGTCCGTAGCAAATGAGGGAGGTTCACTGGTTCATCGCAAGAGCATCACCAAGGTTTTTGTCAAACCTCTTTGATTCCATCGGTTCCCTTTCTAGCTTTCAGACATTACCGATTTCTACCAAGTCCTGAATTTCAATTCCATGACTTGGATCGCGCACTGGAGCGATACCTTGGCACCACCACTGACACAGAAACTCCATGTCTTGAGGCATCGATGGCATCAGGTTTATCTCAGCTTGCGGCAGAAGACTGAACCGCCTGACGGTAGCACTGACCAAAGAGTCCGGTGTCTCAAACTTTGAAGTAACAGCATGGAACAGTCATCTCGAACTCTGAGATCTTGTCATCCAGCTTAAACAGCGGCAAGTTGAGAGCCCTGCGCTCGGTCAAGTAGGACACAGAGTGCTTGGTATCGACCTCGGGTAGCCCCCATTGCGTCAGAAAGCGTCAGCAACCAGCTGATGTTTTTTCATCTCAGGCCACGACATAAGCTGCGTCTGTGAAGACCAGCTTCCCTGCATCTGCGACCTGATCGGATCTGATCGGGTTGTCACGTCACCATTCCGGAACGGGAATTCAGAGTGCCAAACTATCCAAACTGAAAACTGAAGAATAGAATTCTTTCAGAGGTTTCCGTTCATCCTAGGAAACGGCACCAAAGGCTTTCACTATTCGTGCCCATCTGAGCTGGGAACTGCTGCACTGGACTGAGAGGGTTGCACATCGGTGTAGACCCTGCAGATGCAGATGTCCCAATTTCTGTTGATGAATTCCCGAGTCGTTGTTTACTCCAAAAGGTTGCAAGATATTGGAAGGTTGGTTGCCTAGTGGACATAGGCCCCATGTATCCTCCATGTTGGCCCCAAGATTTTCGTCAATTTCGTGCAGTGGTGTTCGGGCCTCGCGTTGGTGTAGAACTGCGGATAGATCGCGTACCTAGCACACCAGAACAGGTCCTGCCCTGCAAGTGTAACATCGGTTTCTCTTGAAACTGGGCAGCCCGTTTGTCAGATTATGTACTCTTTGCACAAGAGCCCAAGCTTTGGCTTTTACAATGGATCTTTGAATGTAAACATCCAACATCCAACCTTTCTCCCTCCTGCTGCCACTGCTGCGCGCACACGTCATAGACGTAAAGCCCCCCTACGGAGCCAGCCAGGACGGCTACAGGCAGCAGCATGGCGACGGGCAAATAGCTCCGAGCTGGCAATGCTTCAGCTGGAGCTTTTTCCCATGGATTTGCTCAAGGGGGCCACTAAGATCACAAAATAACTAAAAATCTTCCCAGTAGATTATCCATTTTTGGTGGATTTCCCATTTCAGTCGGAACAAATTGACCCAACCAGTTTCCAAGTGACGCAATGAAGAAAACAGTAGAACTGTTTAGGATTCTGAGCAGCAAAAATGAAAGACTTCCATTTGCAAAACTGGGACCTTCGGCAAGAAATGGGATCTTATTTAGTCGGCAAATTTACTGGCAAAATGATGGGGAGATTTGACGCGGAAAACTGAGAAATGTGAGGATTCTACGATCATGGGGTCGGTGAATGGATACGTTACGTACTTTTGTCATCCACGGTGATTGATCCTCTGTTCGTGGTTTTTGCATGTTTGCGAATAAAAAGTAAAGCATTCGGATATCTTATGTCCAAGTGGCATATCAAGCCGCTGTGCTAAGTTCCTTTTGGAGATTCATTGATTCACTGCACCATGCCGAAACGGCCCTTACCTGGCAGCTGTCTTGCAACCAGATCCCACTTCCCAGGTTCCAAGTGGCCTTCCTTTCTGAAAGTGAACAGCCTGGCTTTTCATGGTGTGAACTTCAATTGGAATAACTGGAACCAGCTTGAGCATGTCCAAGGCTCTGGCATGCCACTGATCATCAGAAAGAAGGCAGAGACAATGACGCATATACTTGGCCTCGAGTTTCGGCGGATTGCCCAAAACCTGTTCACCACCAGAACCTTTTGGCCCAATCGGCTGGCGTTGCAGCAGGGGCCCACGGGGCCCGAGCAGCTTCATAAATCCAAAGGTGTAAAAGAACCTGGAGCAGTGGCCGGCACGCCAGGCCCGGCCCTACCAGTGTGTAGTGTGGCCCCTGAAACTGCTTCCAACTGATGAAATGACAGATGTTTTGATTTGAAATAGTCAAGGTCTAAATTTGGCTGCTTCTGAAAAAGTTCCATCTGATGTCGAAAATGCAAAATGAATCAAAATGGTGTCCACTTGCAAACAGGATCTGACACTTGGACAAGCAGCAAGAGGAACAGGAAAACTGCGAATTGCGGAGCCCACAAAGCCTGCATTCAAGAATCCACATCGACTAGATTGTAGAGCTTTTGTTGGATTCATATGCTTTAAAGAACAAACGAATTGAACATTTTGGTTTCACGTTTCCGTTTACAAAATATTTCTGCAAGTTGTTGAGAAGTTGAGCCCCAAACCCAGAAGTCTCCTTGCTTCAGGGACGCCAGAAACGAAGATCCACCAGTCCTTGGTCCGAAAAACATGGTGTGTGTTTTCACTCATGGGAGGGATGGAATAGGATTTACATGGATTTCCCGTGGTGTCCCCTCAATCTTCTGACTCCACTGAGCTTCATACTGTGGCTTGGCCACAAAGGTTCCACCCACGGATTTCATCGTGGGCGTCGAGGCTAAGGGCGGTGACTTCCCCCTATTCCCTAAGGTTCTGTATCGGACATTGAGCCATAGCTGCTACCATACGAAACCAAAGCAACAAGAGCAACGATACGGGTCTCCGGTTTTAAAAAACTTCCGTGGAGTGGTACAATTAATGTACAATGCACACGTCCAACTCCATTTCCTTCACGCAATCGTAAGAAGCGTCTCGGTGTTGGCCAGCGCTCTTTCATTTCACGCTGAATGCAAGGCACATTCGGCATGGAAAATGTTGGGGACTCCAACTTCAGACTTAGGCACTAAAGTCACAAACCAGCCTTTTTGAAAATTTTTGAAATGGCTCAAAACTAGATCCTGGCCGCCTCAGAGTCGACCCCGAAGAAGCTCGCGGGCTTCATCCAAGAAGCGGCGCCAGAACCTCATCGCCATGGCATGCCATAGGAAATCCCCCAATTGGGTGATGAAATCCATCGCCATGTTTGATAGAGGGAAGACCTAGTGCCATAAACCCAGTAACCCACCATAAAGGGGTCATGAGAACCATCACCATGCTAGTGACAAACACAATTTCATAAACCCCTGTGGATTCTTTTTTGTTGGGTTTACCTGGTTCGCCATTGCTCACATGTCAGGTCATGGAAAAACTGAAGTGCTGGGAGCAGAGCGGAATTCCACTGCAGCAAGGTTCAGGCGACAACGCCGTCGCGTGCACCTGGCTTACTATACTATCCAACATGGGGCCCCATGGGCAGTGGGAAATCCCCAGAGTTTCAAGCGAAAAGCTTGGAATGGATGTAATCCCATCCCCTGATCATATGAAGATGATAGACCTTCATATTAAGTATCCCAAAGTAGGGGGACCCAAGAATGAATAGATCCTCTACATTCCTCTACTACATCTGAGGTTGCAGGGAGAAGTAATATAGGGGGATGGGATCAAGTGGTTACCTTAGAGTAAGCAAGCTTGGCCATAGAAGAAGCTATGCTTCTAAAACAAAACTCATCTACAACTCTACAAATCTTCGGGTTTTCAGCTGCAATCTCGGATGACCGGAAGATACTATAAGTGATTCCACATCTTCAACTGGCTCAGAAACATGGCAGCCTCAGCCTTATCTTCTCGGGCAGAACTAGGGCCACTAGGCCCTGCAGGTTGCTGGCCTGATGTTGGCACAGTGGGAACCCCAAATTCAGGTGAAGTCATCCAGGTGAAGTCCCTGAGACCCAAAAAGCCAAGCGCCGTTCAGTCACGTGGTCCTCCAAATCATGACCCGAAAAATTGGAAGCTGGAATTAGCGAAAATGACCCCAACTGAGACCACTGACTCATCCTAGTTCACTTAGATTGACCATTTGAGCCAACTCGAAGGAAACGCCACAGGACTCGCCTGCACCTTCCTCAATGCCAACCTCGCCCTCCTCCTGGGCCATCGAAGCCCCCCATTTGACAAACCTGGACCCCTTGAGAAATTTGAGCGCCTCGACTTCATCACAGGCTGAGAGGACGATGCCCATCAATTGCGAGCTTCCAAAGGACTGACAGGGCAGCCAGGATCACTGCAGTGGTCTTTAAGGTGAAAATCACCCGGAAGAAAAAAAAACAACAGGACACCATAGACTTTCCAGTTACATTTAGGGGGTTCCTTTAGAAAAATCCCTTACACCAAATCTGGGACAGAGCCACCCACAAGGGTATTGTGTTCGTTGTGGGATATCGACGGTAGATCAACTCAGCTGGGAGGTCTTACGACCCGTTGTCAACCGCTTCCGGAAAGAGATGTGATGAATCCGCCATTGGCCCACTTGCCCAATGAAGGGTGTCTCAAAACTCCACGTTCATCGCTAGAAATATAGCAACCAAAAAACGATCGAAAAGTTGGAAATCTGGAAGATATGGGGGGAACATCATCTATACTATCTATACCATCACATCCTGGAAAAACTTGTTTATCTCTCCCAGCCCCAACTGCAGGACATCTTCAGCACGCTGCCTTCAGGCCGCCAGCTTCCAGCCCCAACATCTCCTGGCTCAACAAGATCTGTGAGGAACTCCATGGTTTCGTCCAACAAAGTGGTTATCCCTAAAGTCCATCATCATCATCATCATCATCATCGTCATCATCATCGTCATCATCATCATCATCATCATCATCTAGTATATCCCCAAATAAGATTACCATTGTGGGATATACGGTATACCCTCTTTTGCACAGAGCCACAGAGAAATTCTACGACATTTCTGGCGTCCTCAAGCTCCTTTCGCAGGCGAGCACCTGTGAAGGAGCCTCGCGACCGGAGCGAATTCGAACAGCATTGGGGAGCACAAAGTGGCCATCATCCCTTTGTTGGATCGTAAACCTTCCAATTTTGGGTCGAATTCTTTGATGTGATGTTTTTCGGGCATCTGCAAATGGTTTTGGCATGGGATTTGCATATACAGTATGATTCAGTATCATATTACCCCCAACATAGCAGGAAGGCATAATTGAGAAATAACTAGTTATGGATGTGAACCCCCTCAGTCTGATGGGCTGATAGGTTCCATGCGTATTCGCCCGTCTCCACATTCAATTCATTCTTTTGTTGGTCAATATCACCAGCTTTCTCAGTCAAAATGTCTATATAGTTTCGCTGGTCAATATCCAGTTTTGTTTTCAATGGTCATCCCCAGCAACATATGATATCGTATGATACATCCACGTGTGTTCAGTATGTTTGCTGCTTAATATCCCCAGTTGCTTCTTAAAAAAAGGGCTGATATCGCCCCGCACCGAGGTCGGCTTCTCGTCTGGCGAGCATCTTGGCCGCTGCCCGAAGTCTGGCGCTGAGGGATCCCCCAACAGTGTGGAACTCACCGCTCAGAAACATAAGGGATTTTTAGCAGATTTACCCATCACACCCTAGGGTGGTCCGAAAATTGACCTCCCATTTGAAAATGAGGTTTTAAACCGGACTTTCAGGTGAGTTTTTAATTACAATGGGAAATTAGCCAGACAAAATTGGGAACTTGTCAGAGAAAATGTGGATCAATTGGCAAAAAGAGGGGGGGGGCATCACCTGAATCAGTGGCAAGTGGTGAAATCCTTTGTGGGGAGTTCAAACTTCAACCAACAACCTCTTTGCAGCAAGATTTCAATTTCGGCATGGGTCATTTTTCCCAGGCACTAGGTTCATGCAATGTCATGCTTTGCGGGTGACATTTGGCTCATTGAGGATACGCCAAATGTGCCATGGTCAGAACATGGTTTCCAATGGGAATCCTTGCAGTGGGTTTACTCTAAATCCCTAAGAAAGACTGGATGAGTACCTTCCAACTAACTTGATCATGGCACTTTTTTTGGAAGATCGACCATGAGATCTTGGGCCAAACCCCCATTTTTCCCGGCGCCTCTCTTCGCTCAGGCCCGAGCCAGGCACTTTGAGCCGCTCGACCTGAAGAAGTGAAGACATCAAGGCCTTCGTGTCTTCGATGGTTTTCCATCATCAGAATGGATTGAATTGTCATATTGTGGAGACATTGAATATGAACTATCAATAACATATCCATACTATGTTACTATATATATATATACATAATAGTATTATGTATATATATATATATGTGCGTGTGAACTATACGTAACTATACAGAACTATACTAATTATACAGAACTATCCCATAAAATGAGGATAGCTAACTCTGAGCCATGACCTACCTACAGTGTCTACACCTGGCCCCACTTTTCGACCCGTCCCTGAGCTTGGCACATCTTTCGATGGAGCCGAAGGTGCCACCCATTCCTGTGGCATTTGACTTTCAATGTGTTCAATCTAGACATAAATCATATATTATCTCATAAATTCTCATAATATAATATCACATAACATAATGTTAAGCCCCAGGTCTATACTTAATCTACAATAATGGTGTTTTACCAGGTTTTCACCTACCAACATGGCGGATCATGGCGGTATACCAAATAGTCTTGATGGGGTTAGCCTCATTTAGGATGGCATTTGCCCATTGGAGTTGATTGGTTTTGAGGTTGCATCATGGCTCAACTGAGCAATGGACTAGGGCTGCAAGACGACGTCTCTCGGCCGTCTCCCCGTCAACGACCCTCAACCTCGCATTTCGATGGCTGAGCCCGGCCCATCGGGACGTCGCAGGTGTGTGGAGCAGCAAAAAAAATCGCAGCTACACTTTGGGAGGTGTCTTTGACAAGTGCACTGTGCACCAATCATAGATGATTGCCATCATCAAGAACAATAACAATAACAGGAACAAGGACAAGAACAAGAAGGAAGCAGTCTCTTTGATCTGCAATCAAGCAGCTCGGAAAGGGAGACTCCTGCCTTGCCAGAACGTCCTGAAGGTCCATTTTGGTCGGACCAGGATGGCTGAATTCCGGCCTGCAAAGGAGCATCATAGTAAGTGATGACCTGGGCGCAGGCTTTCTGCCGTGGTTCACAGCCTGGCCTTCCCATGATGTCAAATAGGTCTGAAACCAAAACATCAACCATTTGGCTCACGCTGCTCTCGCTCCAAAGATTCCTTGCCACACTGCCCAAATCCTGAGGAAGCAGCATAGCCCCGGTCACTAAACGCAGTGGCATCCAGTGGGGGCGTGTAGGCCTTGCAGCTACATCCATGGCATTGGCGATTCGATGGAAACGAGTGCTGCAGGCTGGTTCGTACTCAAACCCCCAAAATATTGCGCTTTACCACCTAACAGGTGAACTGTCCATTGCTCACCATGGCGCACCAGCAATGCATACATCTGGTCCATGACAAAGTGTCGAAGCAAGACTACTTCCATCTCCTCCATACCTGCGGGTCGCAACTGATCCCACACAACACATGCATTCGGTTCGATGGAAATATTGCAGGAAACCAAGCGTTTTACCATCCAAATGTGGCTGTTTCCGCTAAAGTTTCCCCAGCAAAAAATGGAAACCACTTCAATAAAACACAACAACTATGGAACTATGGGACTCAGAATCACAACCTTTTGCGAACTGATGGAACTATGGAGCTGCCATGCAACTTGGACCCCACCGGACCCCACCTTCAAGGACTGCAGCAAGATATCCCAATCCTCTGGAAACAATTCCATGCCTCGACAACTGGTGCGCAGTTTCATCAGGAAATGGACGACAAAAAAGGGAAAACATGGCAATGTAATGGGATATCTTGGCTTTTATTGGAATACACTAGGGATATACTGGGAGATTGTAGAAAGAATTGAATTTTGATATGTTGCGATACAGTAGGTGAACCTCCACCTGTGTCAACCTGGTTCTTTCCAATAAGCTGCTGATCTGAATGGATGGCCAGGAAAATCTGCGAGGAACCATTGTCTTTACCACTAGCTTTAGGGGTTGCCTGTATCTTTTTCCATCATCCAAAAACCTCAAATGGTCTCATCACGACGAATCCTGAGCTTAATACCAAAGTCTAAGCTCTGCGCATATAGGCTGGAACATCTTTGCCATCTACCTACACCAATCATGCCACTTTTCCCATTAACTGAATATTTCTTCATAAAATAATTATATATATATATATCGACGGACTGAAAGTTAGAATGCCTGTTTGGAAAAATTCGGCCACACGTGCAAAACTGGAAAATTGCATTTTTACCAGCATTTCAGAACTTAGAATACCTCCCCCCACCTAGGATGAAGCTATTCGGCAATCAACAGTTAGAATGCCTTCAAGGGTATATTTTTTTCAAGGCCAGAAACGCATATATATATATATATATATCTCTCTCTCTCTATCTTAGACCCTCCAAGTCACCATAAAAAAGGGAGTTTACCACATAATTTTCATAGTTTTAGCAATTTTTCAGGGTACTTGGAGGTTCTGGGTATATGAATGTACCTGTTTGAGAATATCACATTATTTTTTGTGCACTTTGCAGGTCTGGGTAAAGTTTCCATGAAAAGTTTCAATGAACCAACAGGCAACCCAAAGGTACTTTTACCCGCTTTCCCCATTCGATAACCTTCCTTGACAAAAGCGAGTTTCCCGTACAAAAATTGCGATTTGGACTCATACCTGAGGTAGATAGGTTTCTAGGAAAAGAGGACACACCCAGCCACTAATGTTGTTGAACACACAGTTAGAATGTGGCTTTACTAAAGGATCCCCATCATTGATAAATACCTTTGTTTTATCTCCTAGACTCCTAGATGGGCCGCTAGCTGGAATGCCTGTAACTGTCACTGATTGGAAAAGATGTTTATATGTTTTTTAACGACAAAAGTGGAAAATTGCATTTTTACCAGCATTTCAGAACTTAGAATGCCTCCCCCCACCTAAAGCTATTCGGCAATCAACAGTTAGAATGCCTCCAAGAGTATTTTTTTTTCAAGGCCAGAAACGCATATATATATATCTTAGACCCTCCAAGTCACCATAAAAACTGGAGTTTACCACATAATGTTCATAGTTTTAGCGATTTTTCAGGGTACTTGGAGGTTCTGGGTATATGAATGTACCTGTTTGAGAATATCACATTATTTTTTGTGCACTTTGCAGGTCTGGGTAAATATTCCATGAAAAGTTTCAATGAACCAACAGGCAGCCCAAAGGTACTTTTACCCGCTTTCCCCATTCGATAACCTTCCTTGACAAAAACGAGTTTCCCGTACAAAACTTGCGATTTTGGACTCATACCTGAGGTAGATAGGTTTCTAGGAAAAGAGGACACACCCAGCCACTAATGTTGTTGAACACACAGTTAGAATGTGGCCTTACTAAAGGATCCCCATCATTGATAAATGCCTTTGTTTTATCTCCTAGATGGGCCGCTAGCTGGAATGCCTGTAACTGTCACTGATTGGAAAAGATGTTTATATGTTTTTTAACGACAAAACTGGAAAATTGCATTTTTACCAGCATTTCAGAACTTAGAATACCTCCCCCCACCTAGGATGAAGCTATTCGGCAATCAACAGTTAGAATGCCTCCAAGGGTATATTTTTTCAAGGCCAAAAACGCGTATATTAGACCCTCCAAGTTACCATAAAAAAGGGAGTTTACCACATAATTTTCATAGTTTTAGCAATTTTTCAGGGTACTTGGAGGTTCTGGGTATATGAATGTGCCTGTTTGAGAATATCACATTATTTTTTGTGCACTTTGCAGGCCTGGGTAAAGATTCCATGAAAAGTTTCAATGAACCAACAGGCAGCCCAAAGGCACTTTTACTCGCTTTCCCCATTCGATAACCTTCCTTGACAAAAGCGAGTTTCCCGTACAAAAATCGAAAGGAAGGAAGTGGGGTGCGCCCTCCCTACACCGGGCCCCGGAGAAAGGTCGACGTTCCACATCAAGGAACCTAGAAGAAAGACGCCTAGAGCAGGGCCACCTGCTCCGAGCATCCTTCCCTAAGGCTCGCTCAATGCTTCCTGCCAACCGGGCGCAACAAGAAAAATTTTTGGGCGCAACAGTTTTACACAGTCATATACAGTCCTCGCGCCCGCTGACTGCCTCCATGCGCCGCGGGAAGTGCACGCTCTCGGTCCCGGTCCAGCTGAAGAGGGTGTCGGGTTTGTCTCCTACAGACACGATGCCATGCGGGGGAATGCGGAGAAGCTGGTCGGTCAAGTGACCAGACTTATCTATAAACCTAACTCTATGACGTCGGTCCTCGCATACCCCAATCCACCGTGTAGAGCGTGACTTCGAGCTCGCGCGACAGACGCGAGGAGTCAAGAGCGGCTACCACGACGGCGAAGTGCCCGGGTAGGAGCACCCGCTCTTGATTGTCCTGCGGCAAGCACGATTGACCCCGGTCACTTAGACTTAGACATGTCTGCCTATATAAGATATGCAGATAAGTACCAGTAGTACCGCACAAGGCGGTGGCGGAAGTTTCAAAAATAGGAAACCTATAGGAAAGGTTGGTTGTTGTGAATCACGGATGGCAGAGCGAAGCCACTGATGGATCGAAAGGTGATTGATGTCTCCTCTCTTTCTCTCTCTTTCTCTGACTATCTACCTACCTACCTATCTATCTACCTATGTATCTATCGATCTATCGATCTATCTACCTATCTTTCTATCTATCTATCTATCGATCGATCTATTGATCTATCGATCTATCTATCTATCTATTCTATTCTATTCTATTCTATTCTATCTATCTATCTATGTACCCATGTATCCATCTATCCATCTTTCTATCTGCCTATCTATCTATCTATCCATCTATCCATCTATCTGTCTACCTGTCTATCTGTGGTGCAGTGTCATTCAGTGTAAGGTAGTGTTGTGCAATGTAGTGAAGTGTAGTGGAATGTAGTGTAGTGTAATGTAGTGTAGTGTAGTGTAATTTAGTGTAGTCGAGTGTAGTGGAGTGTAGTGGAGTGTAGTTGTAGTTGTAGTTGTAGTGTAGTTGAGTGTAGTGTAGTGTAATGTAGTGAAGTGTAGTGGAAGGTAGCGTAGTGTAGTGTAATGTAGTGTAGTGCAGTGGAGTGGAGTGTAGTGTAGTGTAATGTAGTGTAGTGTAGTGTAATTTAGTGTAGTGGAGTGTAGTGGAGTGTAGTGGAGTGTAGTGGAGTGTAGTGGAGTGTAGTGGAGTGTAGTGGAGTGTAGTGGAGTGTAGTGGAGTGTAGTTGTAGTGTAGTGGAGTGTAGTGTAGTGTAATGTAGTGAAGTGTAGTGGAAGGTAATGTAGTGTAGTGTAGTGTAATGTAGTGTAGTGTAGTGCAATTTAGTGTAGTGGAGTGTAGTGGAGTGTAGTGGAGTGTAGTTGTGCAGTTGTAGTTGTAGTGTAATGTAGTGAAGTGTATATAGTGTAGTGGAGTGTAGTGTAGTGTAATGTAGTGTAGTGGAAGATAGTGTAGTGTAGTGTAATGTAGTGTAGTGTAGTGTAATGTAGTGTAGTGTAATGTAGTGTAGTGTAGTGGAGTGTAGTGTAGTGTAGTGTAGTGTAATTTAGTGTAGTCGAGTGTAGTGGAGTGTAGTGGAGTGTAGTGTACTAGAATGTAGTGAAGGTGTAGTTGTAGTTGTAGTTGTAGTGCAGTGTAATGTATTGGAGCGTAGTGTGGTGTAGTGGTGGTTGTAGTTGAAAATGCTACAAAACCCTCACGTTTTGCTCACTTTTGACAAGGTCCACAATCCCTTGCGCCTGCCACGCGAAACGACATCTGAACCTCCAAAAGTGGTCCGTACATGGTGTGTTTTATTGTGTTTTGTACATTTTGACTTCTAAATGTGCTTCGCGCCACAACGGCGTGCACTTTTTCGACATCTCAACTTCCAAAAATGGTCCGTACATGGTGTGCTTTGTACATTTTGACTTCGAAATGTGCTTCGCGCCGCAACGGCATGCACTTTTTCGACATCTCAACTTCCAAAAGTGGTCCGAGAATGGTGTGTTTTGCACATTTTGACTTCGAAATGTGCTTCGCGCCACATCGGCGTGCAATTTTTCATCTCTCATCTGGCCAGCTGGCTCCGCACCCGCCGCTTCAGCGAGCCTACTTTTCGACCCTCCGGAGCCCCAAATCATTCGAAAAACACAGTGTTTCGCGACTTTCCTACCTTTTCTCGCATCTGCATCTTCTTTCTTCTTACTCTTTCTCTTCTACTCTTCTTTCTTCTAATCTTTCTCCTCTCTCTGCCTCTTCCCTTCTCTGCTTTTCATCTGTCCATATTGTCGGAAGTTTGACTTCTAAACTTCCTTCGACAATAAGCGACTGCTGCAGTGTGGAAGTGGCCCCGCCTCTTGTTTGCGTCTGCAGCGTCGGCGCTTGGCGCAATGATGATGCTCCTGGACGGCGTCCGCCATGAAGGGCTCATCGTGAAAGATGGCACCTGACCCGCGCATGCATGCATGTGCGTGTTTCCCTGGGCGGCGAAATGGGAAGGGAGGAAAATGGATGCAGAACACGGGGTCCAGAAAACCGTTGTTACATGACAGAAACGCGCGCCTTCGGCTTCAGCGTCCTTCTTGGCAGCATCATCTACAACAGGGAGACAGTTGGAAAGAAAACGTGTGCCATCAAGAAGGTTGCTGCATTTGCATTTGAAGCTGTGAATGATTCAATGGTGCGCAGATGCTCGAATGAACGGCGCGCCTACAAGGGCCGCGGCAGCTTCGGGGGCTGGAATCATGGCGTCTTCCGGCTCGCCTACCAAAAGCTTGGCAGAAGCAAAGACAAGGATAATAGATACTGTTTTGCTGATGCAGTGCTGCTGACATTGCGCCTGGATGTGCCGCCACGGCGTCGAGGCAGGCCTCCAGCTCCATGTCGAAATGATCCGGGTTGTTCGGATCGATTTCGGGAGCGGAGGCTGCTGCGGCCGGACCTGACAGGAGCCAAGTCGCCCACGCGCGCGCACACACACACACATTTAAAGAGGAAAGAGACGCCTTAGATTTTGGCCTGCCTTGTCCTTCGAAGGTGTAGATGGGCAGCTGCTCGAAGGCGCGCAGCTGGACCTGCACGCAAGAATCTGGCAAAAGGGTTGCACTGGCCGAGATTGAAATAAAACTACTATGCCAAGGGCATCGGGGAAAATCGCCTCCTGGGGAAGGCCGCAGAAGAAGTCGTAAAATTTACGACTGGCCTCCGAGGGACACAGATCCCTCTGCCTCCTGGCGGGCGGCGCGCGGTCCACATATGACAAGCATGCACTGTTTGCAAGGTATATTGGGCAAGGACATGAAATTAACAGAATGATATCAGAATGTTGTCCCCCTTAAGCGCCTCAGCAAGGCGGTTAAAACCTTATAGCCGACCCGCTTAAGGACAAAGTCCTTCCCCCCGGCCCTCGCGGGGGGCGGGTCAGCACGGCAGAGGGCTTCCAGGAAGGCCCGGTCGATGGTGATCCTTGGATAGCAACAACTTGGCTGCTTATTCTATTCATCTTGAAGAGGGTGCTCTGAGGACCGCACGACGCAGCGAGAGTGGTGTTGCCGTTCTCCGCGTGGGCCTTCCTGTTGCGTTCCTCGGCAGCAGGGAGAAGGAAGAAAACGAAACAGTGTGTATATAATAAGGAGAGGTTTGGAAGATTTTGGAAGGAATTATAAGTAATTATATTCGGCCCCGGGCCTTGTTGGTCAAATAATTCGGCTTGTACCGGAACGCGGCCTGAGTGACGAATGCGGTGTGCAGGACGTGCACGCAACGGAAACCTGAAGAAAGGACAAGCACAAAAATGCGCTGGGGCCCGCCCATTCCCATCCGCCGTCCACTCGGCGAGGGACGGCGGTCTGCTCGCCTTGTCGCTGAGGCCTGGACAAGCAACGCAACATTGCAAAGGGATGGACGCGCGGCAACACGAGAAACGCAGCACGCGCCTGCGCGTGCGCGGCGGTTCAAAAACCGCCGCTCTTGGCCGCGATCCTGAGGCAAATCTGGGGCGTGGCGATATCGTGCAAGGCAGACATGATATAATAAGATAGATGTAAAACGTCATTTATATATATATATATATATGCGGTCCCGGCCGGCGGCCGGCAACCCCCCCCAATGGTATCCCCCCCCATATATCCATATATGTATATATGTATATATGTATATATGTATATATGTATATATGTATATATGTATATATGGGTATATGTATATATGTGTATATGTATACATGTATATATGTATTACATTACATGACATTACATGACATTACATGACATTACATGACATGACATGACATTACAATACATAAATACATACATACATACATACATACACCCATACATACATACATACATACATAACTTAACTGACCTTACATTACCTTAGATGACATTACATGACATTACATACATACATTACATTACATTACATTACATTACATTACGTTACGTTACATTACATTACATTACATTACATACATACATACATGCCTATACCTACCAACCTACGTAGGTACATACATACTACACCCAACCCACCCCACAGGGGGGGGGGCGGGGAAGCAGAGGTGCCTTGCATGATAGTTGGATTCCAGGGAGGTAGTACACCCAATTTTTAGGAACCATCCCCATCGCATGCATACATGCATACATACATACAGACAGACATACATACATACATGCCTATACCTACCAACCTACGTAGGTACATACATACTACACCCAACCCACCCCACGGGGGGGGGCGGGGAAGCAGAGGTACCTTGCATGATAGTTGGATTCCAGGGAGGTAGTACGCCCAATCCTAGGAACCATCCCCATCGCGGGGGGGGGTTGCAGGCCTGTACCATATATATATATATGTAATTATATATACATATATCCATATTATATATATATATACATATAGCCCATTCACTACCATCACTGCAATTCTAAATGGTGTTGTTTTGCTTTTCGAATGACCATCCCTCCATGAACCGCTAGCGATGCCATCGCCTCCAAGATCTCGTAGTTCTCCAAGCTGTGCAAGGAGTAATCTGCCTCAACTTCCAAGTTATCCCAGTCAGAAGGTCTCCCAAAACTGCTTCAAGTAAAATGTTGCAGGAACACATAGGAACACCTTCAGGTTGACTGGTAAAAAAGCGGAAAACCATCAAGTTTAATGATAAAATATGACAAAAACATACACAAAGTGAAAAGAACAGTTCAAAATGAAAAGAATCCACGGCAAGTTGCATCCAAATCTTGGGCGGCATCAGTATCCCAGGCCTGCGTTGCTGCCCGGGCCGTCCTGGGAGCCGCCTTCATGTACTCGGCCAGGAAGGTGTCTTGCGCTGAACGACCTCGCCATGGTGGCCACAGGATGGAGTTTGCCAAAGAGGGAGATATGACCCAGAAAACTTGGATTTAGAAAAGTGACACGTTTGCCTCTAGCTATATAAGGAAAGCTGTATGCCCATTTATGGGGCCCATTGTGCTACCAACAGGGGATTAATGATGGTTAATGGGGATCTTAAAAGCATCCAGCTTTTGCTTCATCCCTTTTAGTCCCAAGGCCCCCAATGAGAAATACAAAAAAAAAGTGTTCATGCTGATCTGATCCTTGGGCTACCATGTTACAGTTTGCAGGCAGGATGTTGGATGATTTACAGGGAGTAAAAACTACAGCATCACCCTGTTTAATCCTAAAAATGATCATTAGCTCCCAGTTGATTTTAGGGCTCAAAAAATGGACCCACCTGCTGCAGCATCATTTTGCGGCAGCTCCCCTGTGAGGTCGTAGCCTTGGGTGACAAGATTGCGTTCCAACACATCCAAAACTGAGGGGCATTAACCCCCAAGTTATGGCTGAGACTCCTGCGCCTTCTTCGCTGCTCGTTGCCCAGAACCTGTGCCATTTGGGATGTCACCAACCCGTTCCTTGGACCTCCCCTGTAAACGTGACATTTTCCGGTGTGAGCCACCAGTGAACTACCAAAAAATGATGTTGAAGAAAGGAAATATTATAGGGACCTTAAGACCTTTGCTGCAGCTGAAGAAGTCGACAGTTTCAATATCGACACCAAAATGACTTGACAAATCTTGTCAGTTCGACCGTGGTTGCCAACCAATAGCGGCAGCAGCAGCAGCAGTCATGGACCCACAAATTTGGTCATCTTTGGTACTAGTATGTAATAAACCAAATTATAAAAATAAATTTTAACTATATAAACTATGTGTCTTGTTAATTTTCTTCATTATCAACTTACTAAACCATCGGTGTTGGGGGGATCAATCATTTTGACCCATACCCACATCGCCATCAACTGCAACTCCAAAGCCTCATAAGCAAGAGCAATTCGGGCAAAAAGTGTTTCGGCTTCGGCCTATGGCGAGCAAATGGTAATAAATTCACTTCAAAGAGACAAACTGACACCAAGAAAATGGGAGAAAAACATATTGTGTATGTATACTAAATATAGTGATATATATATATATACACATTTGTGCTGTGCATAAATAAAATACAGATAGTTAACAATATTATTTATATATTTATATACATATATTATTTATATATATAGTATTTATAATATCTACATTATATTACCTGTAGGCGTAGATGTATAAAACACTGCAAAACAAGTTCGCAAACAGCAAGCAACGTCCCATTCTTTGAAACCTCCCAAAGTTGAGGACGAAACCACATCTGTTCCTTGACCTTGGGTGCCAGGTTCCTAATAGTGACCCGAGAATGGCACCATCTCTCTGACATGTTTCAGACTGGGTTTACTAAATATTTTTGAAATGTCATGATGACCCCCCATATGGTAAAAATATGTATATAATTAAAGTAACATTACATATTATATATGATACATATATATATATATGTATATATACATAATGTATAATATATACGTATAATATATCAATATAACTTAAGATAAATAAATTGTCAAAGGAAGTTTGGAAGCCAAACTTCCGACAATATCGACAATATTGACAAATGGAAAAGCAGAGGCGGGAAGAGCCAGAGAAGAGAAGGCAGAAGAAAGAATATCAGAGAAGAGAACGATTCAAAAGAAAGAAGATCAATGCGTGCGAAAAGGTAGAAAAGTCGTGCGATGTTTTGTGGCTCCGGAGGATCGAAAAGTAGGCTTGCTAAAGCGGCGGGTGGGGAGCTATCTGGGGAGATGAGATCAAAAATTGCACGCCGTTGTGGCGCGAAGCACATTTGGAAGTGAAAATGGTAAAAAAACAGCGGGTTCGGAGCACTTTTGGAAGTTGAGCTGTTGAAAAGGTGCAATGTTGTGGCACGAAGCACATTTTGAAGCCAAAATGCTTAAAGCACACCATGCTCGGAGCACTTTTGGCAGTTGAGATGCACAAAAACTGCATGGCATTGTGGCGAGAAGCACACGTCGAAGTCAAAATGTGCAAAACACACCGTTGTCGGAGCAATTTTGGAACTTGAGATGATGTTGAAAAAATGCAGGCCATTGTGGCGCGAAGCACATTTCCAAGTGAAAAGTGTTAAAAACTAACGGTCTCGGACCAATTTTGGAAGTTGCGATGTTGAAAAGTGCACGCCGCGAAGCACATTCCGAAGTCAAAAGTGTTAAAAACTGGCGGTCTCGGGCCACTTTTGGAAGTTCAGGTCTCGAAAAAGTGCACGCTGCTGTGGCGCAAAGCACATTTGCAACTGAAAAGTGTGAACAACTGACAGTCTCAAACAACTTTTGAATTTTTTGAAAGTTGCCTTATCGAAAAAGTGCACTCTGTTGTGGCGGAAAGCACATTTCCAAGTGAAAAGTGTTTAAAACTGGCGGTCTCAGAGCACTTTTGGAACGAGAGAGAGAGATAGAGACAGAGAGAGAGAGAGAGAAGATCGATGTTGCCACATGGAGCCTTGGGTCATAGATAGGTAGAAAGAAAGATAGAAAGATGGATAGGACTAAATAGGATATGATAGGTATGATAGGGTTAGATTTGATTAGATTAGATGAGATTAGATTAGATTAGGAGAGATAGGATAGATTGGATAGATTGGATAGATAAGATAGATAGATAGGATAGATAGGATAGATAGGATAGACAGACAGACAGACAAACAGACAGACAGACAGACAGGCAGATAGGTAGATAGACAGACAGATAGACAGATAGACAGATAGACAGATAGACAGATAGCTTGATAGCTTGATAGCTTGATAGCTTGATAGCTTGATAGCTTGACAGATAGATGGGTGGATGGGTGGATGGATGGATAGATAGCCAGTTTGGCTGTGTTTTTACCTGCTTACGGGCTCTCGTTTGAAATCTCGACAGTTTCCGTACAGCAACTTGACCGATGGTTCAAACACAATGAGAGAGGGAGACACATGGATAGTGGATTGAGAGAAGGACACTTCGAGAGATACATGAAAAGACAGACAGATCGATGGATTGTTAAATAGATGGATTTAAAGATTGATAGCTGGATCGATAAATGAATGGTCGAAAGATGGACAGGTAGATATTTAAATGGATAGATAGAAGATGAATGAAGATGATAGAAACAAGATGAAACAAGCACAGAAAGATAGACCGATTGATGGATGGATAGATAAATAGATAGAGATAGAGACATAACGAGACACAGAAAGACAGAGAAGGAGATAGATCATCAGAGACATGGGTGGACAAAGAGACAAGCACACAGATAGAGAACGATAATGAGAGTTGCAAAGAGACGAACAGGAAAGAAAGAGAATGAGAGACTCAGAGCCTCAACCACCTCTCGATCCATCAGTGGATTCGCTCTGCCATCCAATCCATGCATCACAACAACTCATCTCTCTTTTCAATGTTTTTTAATGTGTTTTATCTTTGAAACTTCCGCCACCGCCTTGTGCGGTACCACTTGTAATGGTTAGTAGGTCTGATTTTTGGGGGATGTTTGTGGAATCCGTCACCAAGCCAAGGACATTTGTCTGGATGGTGCTGTAGAGCAAGCCGTCTGTAGGCCTCCCAGACTAGCACCATGTCATGTTTATGGAGAACCTGGAAGTTCTCTCACCCTGCCATGACATCCGAGCAAAATTCCGCTGTATAGAAGGAATCAAGGAGATCCAAGGATGAAGTTGTCAGAGATTAAAACAATCCAGTGGAAGAAAAAATTGGTCAAAGAAACAATCCAGTAGACAGGGCATCCCCCAATCGTAGTTTTCAAACAGAATCTGGAATGAAAGAACAAAATTGGGGGTCCCAGTTTGATCTTCATGGAAGAATGAGGTTCCAGCTAAGCTCCACAGAATCTGCCTGCAATAATGAGCCCTGCTCGCAGTCATAACTCGCTTGATTCACCCCATTCGTAGAGAAGGCGCACTTATACAAAGGTTTTTACGTTTATGAATCACTGATAGACCCTTTGGGTTTTGTCTGTCAGTTGGGTACCCGCAAATCTTATGGTGTTTCATTGTTGCTCCTGTTAGACTTGCCATAGTCCATTAACTGGTAGATAAATCAGATAATCCAGTTGCCGCAAACTGTCTCACTTCGGCCTGCTTGATTTCGTCCGAGGTAGCATTGGGCGGAACGGCCAGCACCGCGTACAGCGGGCGAGTGCCTTCCTCCGTCATCTCGCCCGGCCAACGAAGTGATTGCAGTCGACACTGGCATGTTGCTTCATCAACGACACCTACCTTGGGTTGTGTGGTTTGAGGAGTCACTGGTGCTTAATAAAGTGGTACTGCAAAAATTCAGAGATTTGGAGAGGTGAAATGGTGCTACCTGTGTGATGTTTGCCTTTGTGATACGTGTCCTGGTTCCCTCTCCATGTCAGGAAGGAACATTCCAGGTACCTGAAAAACTGATGAAATCTAATCCTACAAACCTTCCATGTGCACTGCCGGGGGGAATCGATTTTGACAGACTCAGCTTGATGGGAAAAGCAAGTGCTGCAAGCAAAATTACATGCAGCTGAAATGCACCGAACTGCACCGAACTTGTACACGGTGACGTCTTTTTGACTGAAGCCATTGGGTTCGTGAAGTTTGCAGGAGAAATTCGGTGCCCCAGCTGCACATGGACACACAGAGCCCTGCATTCCAGCCCCAACAGCTCCGTGCCATCACACCTTTTTTTTCGCGCGCACTGTTTCGGCCGCGCCACTCGTGTAACACAGGTGAAACACCGACTCTGTACATGGCGCCGTGGCTTTGCAAACATGCAATTTCGGATCTGTCGCCTTCATATCTAGTTGTCTGCATCTCGCAGAGGCTAGAAAAAAATCTCTGGAGAAGGGCCCAACAAACGAATCTGGTTTCCCGCAAATGTTTTGAAGCAGTCGACAGTCGACAGCTGGGGATGTGTCAAGGATGTTCTTGATTGGATGCTTCATACTTCGAATGACCAACAAACATTGGAGCAAGTTTGACCCATCCCCATGTGCCCTTCTCCAGGACATTGCAATAATTAAAATTGAGCAGTGCTGTTTCGCCATGCTCAAAATGTTCAAATCTCACGCGCAATCAACAGGATCAACACCGCCAGGAATGCCTGCGCATGCCACAAACTGAAAAATATTCACCCGTTTGGTCAAAAAAAAAATCAGATTGGATGGCTTAAGAAAAACAAGCTATCCAATCATTACCCCAATCAGATTGGATTATTAGAATTTTACTCACATTTACCAGCATTATCTTCAAGTAAACCGAAATAATGTTTACCATGCTCCATTGGGGGTTCTTATTATGTACTAAAAAACGATTTTGGCATTCATTTCATTCATTTCATTTCATTTCATTTCATTTCATTTAACATTTCATTCATTCATTCATTCATTCATTCATTCATTCATTTCATTCATTCATTTCATTCATTCATTTCATTCATTCATTCATTCATTCATTCATTCATTTATTCATTCATTTATTCATTCATTCATTCATTCATTCATTCATTTCATTCATTCATTTCATTCATTCATTTCATTCATTCATTCATTCATTCATTCATTCATTTATTCATTCATTCATTCATTCATTCATTCATTTTTTCATTTCATTCCATTTCGTCCATTCGATCAATTCAATTCATTCGTTTCATTCAATTCATTCAATTCATTCATTTCATTCATTTCACTTACTTCATTTCATTCACTCATTTCATTCATGTCATTCATTTCATTCATTTCATTCATTTCATTCATTCATTTCATTCATTTCATTCATTTCATTCATTTCTTTCATTTCACTCATTTCATTCATTTCATTCATTTCTTTCATTTCATTCATTTCATTTCATTTCATTTCATTTCATTTCAACTTATTTATTCATTCATTCATTTCATTTCATGTCATTTCATTTCATGTCATTTCATTCATTCATTCATTCATTCATTTCATTCATTCATTCATTCATTCATTCATTTCATCCATCCATCCATTTCACTTTTCATCCATCAATCCATCAATCCCATCCATCGGTACCATCCCATTCATTCATTCCCTGTGTTTCGTTAGTTTCAGTCATTCATTCATTTGCATTTGTCAATTCAGATTTCATTTCATTCATTTCATTCATTTCATTCATTTCATTCATTTCATTCATTTCATTCATTTCATTTCAT